GGGTTGCTTAGCCATTGTGCCACAAGGACTCCTTTCAGTACTGCAGGGAATAGAGACAATGGGAACACTACAGTTTATCCTGAGGCATAGTATAACAGCAAGAGCTTATACTTTATGGGGTGGGAGAATGATTAATTTATATTTTTTATTGTGAGCAAAGATAGCATGGTTAAGATAGCATAGTTATTTGGGAGCTGAAACTATTACAATTTGAAAGATAACTGCATTAGGGTTGTCTTGTTGAGTGTTACCTTAAATTACAAAAATACAACCTCCATGTTAGTATAGACATGGCAGTCATACAGGAGTTTATATGAATGTATTTAAATGTTTGTGCATATTTAAAATTAATTTAATTTTGTTTGTTTTTAAAGAGTTCCTGTCTCTTGGCAGTGTCAATTGGTTGGGAAGGAGGTGTTTATGTGCAAACCTGTGGCCACACATTACATATAGACTGTCATAAATCTTACATGGAATCATTACGGGTAAGTTGATTGGAAAAAACTGTAAAAGTTTATGTATCTGTACAGGTATTGAATTGTTGTTGCAGCTCATCATCCTGGGTGACTTTGATGACTGTGTGAATTATCCAACCACAATGGGCTCACAGTTCCTTGAACTTTCAGAGATTTTCTTCCTTTCTTTCCCCTTCCTTTTAGCAATTTACTTCCACGGCTGCAATTTAGACTTGTCTGTATTATTCTGTTGTGCCGAGGCTCTGAAATATTAACCCTTACCATCTACAATATCATTTTTGGAGTAGTCTTTAAATCCTCTTATATTCACTATCATTTGTTTGTCTTACCTCTGACTTCGTGGAGCTCTCTGGTTCCTGCTACCTACATATCTTTTTGAAGGCATGAGCTTTTTCATAGCCTCACTTGATTGCTTCTTCTAGATTCATCCTCTTATTGCCAGTCATTTAATGTGCCACCTTTGGTCTTAGATTCAGGCATCTTGCCCTGGTAGAGAAAGGCATGCAACTAAGTGAACTGGCATCATCACAAATGAATGGTTTCCAATGACAGTCTGGTCTGTAAAGTAGTTTACTTGTCTGATCATTTCCCTCTTCTATTCCCCTCAACAGTTATTCTACGCCCTTGGCATCCCTATACCAGGCTCTTTGCCTAAACGGCAAGACCATCTCATTTCACCAGATTCCTTCTCTTCCTATATGACTTAGACAACAATGGCTCTCTTGCACATTTTATTCGTTGTCTCTAACTTGATTTTCTGTTCATTGACAAATAAATGCATGCCTACCAGACCTTTCTTCTGTTCTTTAAGGAAATATTCTTCTTCTGCTTAGGAATGATCTCTCTGTGTGTACTTTAGTATTCAGGGGCATGGCTTCATCAATAATTGATGTCTTTTTCTTGTGTATCTTCATTTTGTCTTCCTCTTCTGTCCATCTCAGCTCATGAATATGCTAAAGTCTTTAAAGTTTCTTTTCTTGACCCCACATTTCCTTTTAGTTGTATTCCTCTCTTTGTCCTTCCATTCTCACCTCAGCTTCTTAAAACCACAGTCTTTATTACAGGTTTCCTAACTCAGGAGCAGAGGACATCTCTTTTTCCTTTCTTGTCCTCATCTTTTACTTGTAGACATTTACCAAATTCTATTGATTCTGCCTCCTTTATCTCCTATACTGTACACTTTACGTTCGGTAATCCACTAATTTTTTTGTGCATGCTTTCTTTTTTTACCTTGATTCTTTATTATGATTACTTTCTTATTGATCTCCTTACTTCAAGTCTGAGTCATTTACAACATTGTATCCTTCTCTCTCTCTTTTTTAAATCATTTTATTATCACAATCCATACATCCATCCATTGTGTCAAGCACATATGTACATTTGTTGCCATCATCATTCTCAAAACATTTGCCTTCTACTTGAACCCTTAATATCGGCTCCTCATTTTCCCCCTCCCTCATGAACCCTTCATAATTCACAAATTATTATTTTGTCATATGTTACACTGTCCGACATTTCCCCCCACCCTCTTCTGTGCTGTCCATCCCCCAGGGAGGAGGCTATACGTAGATTCTTGTAATCGGTTCCCCCTTTTTACCCCACATTCCCTCCACCCTCCAGGTATCGCCACTCTCACCACTGGTCCTGGGGGGTCATCTGTCCTGGATTCCCTGTGTTTCTAGTTGCTATCTGTACCAATGTATATCCTCTGGTCTAGCCAGATTTGTAAGATAGAATTGGGATGATGATAGTGGTGATGAGGAAGCATTTAAGAACTAGAGGAAAGTTATGTTTCATCGTTGTTACCCTGCACCCTGACTGGCTCATCTCCTCCCCACAACCCTTCAATAAGGGCGTGTCCAGTTGCCTACTGATGGGCTTTGAGTCTCCACTTTGCACTCACCCACCTTTACAATTATATTTTTTGTTCTTTGATGCTTGATACCTAATCCGTTTGACAGCATGTGGTCACACAGGCTGACGTGCTTCTTCCATGTGGGCTTTGTTGCTTCTGAGCTAGATGGCCACTTGTTTATCTTCAAGCCTTTAAGACCCCAGATGCTATATCTTTTGATAGCTAGGCACCATCAGCTTTCTTCACCACATTTGCTTATGCACACATTTGTGTTCAGTGATTGTATCGGGAAGGTAGGCACCCACTCATAGCATTTTTTGTTCTTTGATGTCTGATAACTGGTCCCTTCTACACCTCATGGTCAGACAGGCTGGTGTGCTTCTTTCATGTGAGCTTGATGCTTCTCAGCTAGATGGTCGCTTGTTTATCTTCAGGCCTTTAAGACCCCAGACACTGTATCTTTTGATAGCTGGGCACCATCAGCTTTTTTCACCACATTTGCTTATGTACACATTTTTCTTCAGCAGTCGTGTCGGGAAGGTGGGCATCTGTATCCTCTTAAAAATTCGGGACTGGCTCTCAAACTGCTTACACAGACTAGACGACACTTTATAAATCTGATAGAACAGAATCTCCACAGGAGAAAGTTGATTCTTATTTGAGTGGCATCAGGGCACTCCATGAAATGGACTTGTTGGTTGCTCTAACTTGATGTTTCCTCAGTTCACCAACAGTGGCCGGATGAGTTCTTCCTTGCACAGTTGTCAGGTCACACCTTTCTGCAGGAGAGCCACTCTGCGGGAGAAAGACATGGCTGGCTGCTTCCATAAAGAGTTTCAGGGGAAAAATTTTTTTTCAGGCACAGGAACCCTGTGGGCTAGTTCTGCTCTGTCCAGGAGGGCTGTTAAGAGTCAGAAGCGACTGATGGCAGCAGGAATGGGTTTTGAGCATGCTACACATTTTTCATATTTCTCCATTCAGTAATTTATTCAACAAATACTTTTTCATTACCTACGTTGGGGATGTAATCGTGAAGAAGGCATCACTCTTTCCCTCAAGAAGCTTCCTATGTGTTGGGTGAGACAATAAAATGAGCAGTTATAGTATAGATACTATAAGTGTTATGAGGTGTGTGTAGGGTCTTATGAGAACAAAAATCAGGGCCCAGAACACCTGATAAGGTAAAATACTTAAAGATAACGAATCAAGAGTGAAGATGTAATTAGAGATCAGGTAGATTATAAAGGTAGGTTCTCACAAGAACTACAAGATACTTTGGATTTTATGCAGATTTCTTACCGAAAGCCATTAATATCATTAACGGGTCTTAAGCAGAGATGTGACATGTCCAGAAAGATTACTTTGGCAGAAAGATTACTATGAAGAAAGGAGATTACAGAGAGATAAGAAAGAATGCAGTAATGTCATTTAGGTGGTGAGGCATATGGGTGAATAACAGTCCAGACAGTGAGATAGGGGGAGGAAGCTATGGATTTAAAATATACTTTGGAGGGTCACATGGTGACAAATTGCATGTAGAACATAAATCAGATGGTTTACAATCCTTGAGTCTCATAGTCACTCACTGATTCACTCTCAGCCATCAAGAGGATTCCAACTTATAGCAACCCTATAGGACAGAGTAGAACTGCCCTTGTGGGTTCCCAAGACGAACTCTTTATGGGAGTAGAAAATCTCATCTTTCTCCCATGGGGCAGCAGGCGATTTTGAATGCTGACCTTGCAGTTAGCAGCAACCTGACTCAGACTCCACTATGCTTGCAGGGCCCCATGAATCCTATATTAAGGGATTATGCTGGCAGCATTATGGTTGGGAGATGGCATAGGAGGGATTTACAAAAAGAGCAGAAAGTTAAAAGTGGATGGGAAAAGAACTGATAGCATTTCTTACTTAGGTAGTAAGTAGCAGGAGGAGGCAGGAAGTGGTAGGAGCTACCATGAATCTCCTCTCTGAGATGGGATTTGTAGTCTTATGGTCCTACAGCAAGAGAACAAGAAAGAGATGGAGATGGTGGTGGAACCTGACAGTAGAAGATGGTTTGCAGAAACCTTTGGGGGAGTGGATAAGACTTCCAAAGTCTTGGAGAAAGATTGCCAAGCAGTATTCACAGCTCAGCTGATGTAGGAAACAATTTATAGTAAAAGATGATTTGCTTTTTCTCTGACAACACTAAGTGAGAGTGTAGGACAGGGGAGGGACACACTTTTGCATAAAGGCTTTGTTCGGTATATATGATAGAAGGACATACGGAAAGAGAAAGGTGAGTACTTGACAGAAATTTAATTAGATTTAGTACCTAGATCAGTTTTCCTCATCACTTCAAGTTCTTCACCATCCCATCTAATTTCAGCATCTGCGTGGATGACCAATCTAATATGTTAGTCACTCATCTCCTCAACCTCGTCAGGCCCATAGGTGTGATCTCCAAATATTCTCCAGTACCTGTTACTGTGACCAGACCTTGATCATGTAATCAGCCAAAACCGTTTCCATGCCGGAAAGTATTAAAGTCAAACATCTTACATTCTAATCACCAGCTTTTATCCCCTTAGCTTTTCTTCCATTTCAAAAAGTCTCACCAGTACTGATGGTCCAGCTGAGTGTGACACTGTAACCTAGCCTCTCCAAGCATTTCCTTCCCATATTTCTTGCTCACAGACTCTCTCCACCCAACCCCCCACCCTCCCACGTGCATAAAGCCTCCCGTGCGTGTCATAGGCCATATCACTCCTTTCTTTCAAACTTACCAAGAAGGAGGATACATGACCCTGTCCCAAACCCAGCGCCAAGTCTCCACCCACGATGGTGTATTAGTCCGTGTCTTCTTTGTGCCGGCACTTCTCTCTTCCCATCCTCTGAGTGGTCCGCAGGCTGCGCGTGCCTGTAAAGCCTGTTACTTGAGACCCACGTGTCAGCCGGTTCTTTTTCTGCCAAGTGCTCGCCTTTCTCTTTCCGTAGTTTGTTTATTTCAGAGTTCATTTCTTGTGACGCATTTGAGAGATGGTGTGTATGTGTGTGTGTTTAGTATAGTTGGCCTTTTCTCTAATCTTATTTCCTAAGAATGCCATTTCTGGACATTGGACCATAGTCTTCGCATAATGAGTTGTCTTTTTAAAAGAATGGTTCATTAAGGCGAAGTGTGATGGCATAATTTTGTTTTCTTTAAATGGGTGCATCATACATCTCTGTTTCTTTTATCTTTTAGAATGACCAGGTTCTTCAGGGCTTCTCAGTGGACAAAGGAGAATTCACTTGTCCTCTCTGTAGGCAGTTTGCAAACAGTGTTCTTCCTTGTTATCCTGGAAGCAATATGGAAAATATCCTGTGGCAACGTCCTGGTAACAAAAGCATGCAGGATCTCATAAAGGAAGTGGGGGAGCTGCAGGGACGGCCCGGCGCTTTCACAGTAAGCACAGTAGGCTTAAGGCACATGCATCCTGGTGAGCTCACCTCTTCTTGTCAGCTTTCATTTTCATGCAGGTTCTAAATGATTTGGGGTGGGTGGGGGGGCTTTATTGTTGTAGGAGAAATTATTTTAAAAGGTGTTTCTCTTTTGTTGTGATTATAAGAAACAAGAATAAGAATAATAGAACAAATTAGTATCAAAAACTCTACTTTGTCTAAATAGTTACAACTTTGATAAACACCTTCCAGATTATGAAAACCTGTAATAAGCCTAGGCATAACGAATCTCTTTTCAAATGTTGGAATCTTCTAACACAAAGCGAAAGAAACCCAAGTCCTGGTACGCTAATTCTTATTAAGTAAAACACAATCTAATCATTTAAAAAGGAGCCCTAGTGGTATAGTATTTACACATTGGGTTGCCCACCCCAGGGTCAGCAGTTTGAACTCACCAGCGACTCTTTAGGAAAGAGATGAGGCTTTTGGCTCCTATAAAGATTTGCAGTCTCAGAAACCCACAGGAGCAGCTCTACCCGTTCCTGTAGGGTTGTTATGAGTTGGAATTGACTTGATGACTGTGAGTTTTGAATAGAATAAAAATCTGAATCACTTAAAAATTAGAAAGATTAGAGTTAAGATTATACCTATGTGTTTAATATTATACATATTATAGAGACGTAATTAATTGAACTGTTAACCAGAAATCAGTCCACTGGGGCATTTAGCATAATTGAACTCTTCTCATATCCCATCCAGAAGGATTTATTCACTTGATTAAATTCTTAAAATATTTCACTTTATTATAGATGTAGGATATGGTTTCTGAGAGAAGTAACAGCTATGCTTGGGTTGTGCAGTGTTTGACTTTTGAAACCGAGAGTCAGTTTAAATCTCCTTAGAATGATTCATCTCCTGACCAGCCCCTATTTCAAATGAAGACTAATTTTAGAATGGTGATTTTTTTTCCCATTTGTAAATCTGAATATTCTTTCAAAGATATTGATATTATCTTTAAAAGATGGACTTGAATGAAAGCCAGATTTTAAAATAAACTTGGTAACTTTATTAGTTTTATGTCATTCACTTAGCTTGTATACATAATTAATATTGGAATTCTGTTATCAACCACGATAAAAATTACTTAAAAGAAAATACCTTTTGATAAGTTTTGATCTTTGTGCTCTAAATCTCTGTGTAGTGGATAGCTTTGTTGCATCTGTTTGACCTCTGAACTTTAATTTCTTAGTTGTTCATGTGCTTCTCATACAAATATTAGACTATTAGGGGAAATGACTATAAATGAACTTTGTATATTTGCATTTTTTTATAGTCAGAAACCAACTTAAGTAAAGAAATGGAATCTGTAATGAAGGACATCAAAAATACCACTCAGAAGAAATATAGAGACTATAGCAAGACCCCAGGCTCACCAGATAACGATTTTCTCTTTATGTACTCTGTTGCTAGGTTGGTATATATAGTACATACTTTTGTATTCACTTGTTGCTATTCTTGGTTTTGTTGTTTAATGTATCTTTTATTCATCATATATGTATATGTATATAAAGGAAAAATGCATTATTTTTAATGTTAGTTGAAATTATGCCTTCCTTTAGGACTTGTAGGAAATGATTGTTATTGAGCATTATATGGCATGTGGGACAAAATAAATTCTTAGCATTTTGAGACAGAAGTCTTCCCCAAGGCTTATATGTGTATTACAGGAGGGGGCTTCAAAAAAGTCATGGAAAAATTCCACTGTCTTTTTACTCCATTTTTCCACAGACTTTTTGCAGCCCTCTTAAGAATGATGTTCATGTGCTTTCAGAAAGTTGTATGACTGAGGACTAAAACACTGTAGTAGGCAAAGTAGGAACAGTAAGAAGTTGAAGTTTTTTGATTGGTCTAACCCAGTGTATGATCTAGTGCTGTTCTAGTGGTTTAGAAATTCACGTAAAAGTAGAGAAAACTAGAGATCAACTGTGTTCTAAGACAGTATTTGTAGCTAGCAGGAGACTCAAAAAAAGTCATCAGTAGTGTTTTTTATCTTTCATATTAGGAAGAATTGACCTGATGGTTTGCATAGGTGTTTTGATTCCCAATGACGATTTCCACATAGGAATGTTAGAGGATTGAGAACCATAAAATAGAGAACCAATAAAGCAGGAGATCGGGGAGAAGCACCCACTGGTAATCTCATTCTGGCAAAACTGATATTGTAGATTTTTGGTTATCTCTGGAAATGTGCTTTATAATCTCCCCGAGTAGTACTGCAATAGGTAGTTTCAAGACAGCATGTGACTGGCATCATGGGAAAACTTAATGGCAGAATAAAACCAAAACTCAGCTGTCTTGAGTCTTTTCCTCTCTTGTGTTTAGCCTTTAAGATTGTATATCCATGCAGTTTTTCATCATTATTCTCTATGCCCTATTCCTGGAGCAGAGAGTAACAAAAGTAAATGAAAACAATATGTGGTCTTTGGAACCTAAGAAAATTGGAACCAGACTTGGAAAATTTGGTAGCAAGTGATAGCTCATACTTAGGAAACATTAGTCTTTGGCCTGAGAATGTGAACACTGCAGAGGGGTGAATATGAAAATTGAATGGTTTAGGAAGTAGCTATCTAATTTGCATATTCCTAGGTTATTATTGTTACCCATCCATAATTACTTTAGAGACAATATCACCACAAATTGATTATTTTGCTTTAAGAGTTAGCCAATACTGCATACTTTGACTAAAGTATACTTTATTTGAAAACTTGACTATATAGTTTAATCTCACCAAGGTTTTAGATTTTTGCAAAATTTCTATATAGTGTTGTAGTTATAAAGTTACAGGAGATAGGAGTGACTGTAGACCAACTAAGTTATGCTTTTTAATATGCATACATCTATGTCATCAGTTCATGGTACAGGATTGGCCTTATAAGAAAATTCTAACTAATGAGAAGATCAATATATGTAATTTTACTATATTATAGTAAATAAAATAACGATTTAGAGTTAGTTTAGTGAATTTTCAGATCCCTGTTTGTTGGCTTAGATATATAAAACATCTCGAATAAAGCTTGGGATGGTGAGAGACTTTTTGCATCAATACATTTTGATTTTTTCCCCTTTCTGATAGAGAAGTGGGGACAGCCGTCAGATACATTACTAAGAATTTAGTTGGGCAAGCAGAAAAGACGCTAGCTGCCCTTTACTTCTCTGATCCCCTGTGTCTACTTCTGAAGTAGCTAGATCCTAATTCAGATAGTGAAGTAGGTAATCCTGACAAGAATTACTTCCACGTTGCTTCATAATTCTCACAATGAAGTGCGTGGCTTCTCTAAATGCGTGTTTATTCATTAGGAACAAAAAAATGGACTTAAAAATTAACAAAAGCATGACTTGAAGGAAAATGTATCTTATTTTTAACAGGATGTAATTTTCCTAAGAAAGTAAATGCGGTCTTTAAGCATATTTTAAGCTTAACGTAACACTGTATTTCATAAGTATTTGACTCATAGTGACCGTATAGGATGGAGTAGACTGTTTCTTAGAGTTTCCGAGACTACATATTTATGAGAGCAGAGAGCCTCAACCTTCTTCTGTCGAGCAGCTTGCAGACTTGTGCTGCTGGTCTATGGTCTATGCTGGCCTATGACCTGTGCTCAGTGGGTGCCTATTTATGATAACAGAGTTACCCCCACCAGGTCAATATTAAAACATTTAGTAATATTTAAAATGTTAAATAAAAAATGTACCAGTAAACTTTGTATTCTCGAAGTTCTGAATTACAGTACATTAATATGGTAATTTTGAAAATGCCTAATTCCTTAGACCTTGCAAATTCATTTGTATTTGGCATTAGTAATTTGAATGGAATACAACCTAGTTTCTCAGAGCTGAATTTATGCTGAGTAAGTAATTTTATTTGCTTTTTTTTTATGAACTTTAATTTTTTGTTATTTAGAAACAAAATTATCTAGTTGGTTACTAGCTGGTAAGCAAACTTACATTAATTATATAAAACAATACAATTCCCTTTAATAATTGTCTCTTTGTTGTTGTTGTTTGGGGAGGGCAGAAAATAACTTTTTATATTAGTTGTATAATGGGGGATTTTCTGAGGGCAGGAGAGGAGAAGCTGTTGGAATGCTATGTTTTTGTTTGCATTAAAACTAATCAAAATTACTATATGCAAGCTTTAATGTGTTACCAAAAACATTCTATTACACGTCAGTCATTCAGATGAGTTATGGAAAGTTAATTTTGAAGAAAGAGCCTTCCTTACTTAAATACCAATTGATTTATTTCATGTTGAGACAATTAATGGCATGAATTACAGTAATTAATTTTTTAAGCGTCTTGGGCCCAGGTTACATATAACTGAGATGTATTGATGAGTAGTCCTTGGCCTCCCATAGAAAGGAACATGGAATGAAAGATGAAACATGAAGAACTGAAGTGTATATGGAGAGGCATCTTTACATCATGACTGGGTAACTGCTCAGTGGAGTGAAGGCTTTATACTTATTTGCATCATTACAAGTCTCGGTAATGATAAATAAAAACTTTGTAATTATGTTAGAAAGAAAAACAATACTTGATAAGACACCTAATTTAAAATCCCTATTTAAAGTTAAAAACAAGATTATTTCCTAAAACAAGCGATTCTCCTCCTTTTTTAGCATGGCTGGGTTTAAGGCAATGGCAGGGTCAGCAAAAGAAAAGAGTAGCCTGCAAAGACTCAGGAGAGACTTCTTATTGGCCACATCGCCAAACAGAGATGTTCAAGTCTTAAGACTGTTTTGAGCACTTTGCTAGGTACCATGAAGAATTTAGAAGCTATATCTGAAATGCTCCTTGCTCTCCGTAGATTTACAGTTTAGTTGGAGAGAGAAAACAAACTTCCATCAATCTATATGAAATAATGTAATTTGCTTTTTAAAAATATTATCAGGAAAAGGAGAAGATAAGCAAATTGAAATATGAAGTATGTGGAAGCAAGTTTGTTGTTGTTGTTCCAGAGAAATTCTTGAAAGAATTAGAACTTGAACTGATGTAGGCTGTGGTATGGATGAAGATATCTGTCTCCACCCAAGATTGAGTAACTAGCTCAAGGCTCAGGCCTTTATTAAGACCTTGTTCTTTCCACTCTACCATTATGTTTGTGTGCATCTATACCAGTAGTTCAAATTATAGGTCTAAAAATAGAAGTTGATCCTAAATGAGGAATTATGGAAGAGAAAACTTTGTCATGCAAAAAACCAAAAAACAAACATACTGGAGCACAGTTTGAGGATTTGTCATTGCTGTTGTCAGGCTCTCTTGGATGCACCTGACGTGGTGACCCCAGCAAACAGTCTTTCTCATCATTTTTTCCAAATGTAGATATTGTCGTCGTCTTTCTGTCTTCCAAGCTAATTTGAATATATTTGTCTTAGAAACTTTGTTCTTTACTCAAGCAAGTTATCAAGTTAAAGAGTCAATTTTGGTATTAGTAAAGTTGCAAGTAGGGTCTCTAACATACTCATCTTAACAATCACTGGTATCATTTTATGGTCTTAAGATTTTGGATAAATAGTCTAATTTTTAATTCACAAAGAGTATTGTGTAGGAGATCATTTCGCCAGAATCTGAAATAGTTAAATAGGTTTAGTACCATTTTCCCCACTAGGTATTTAAAATAAAATTCTTGGTTATCTGTTTGTATTTCTTAAAGACCTTTATTTTGTGGTTGAATTAACAGGATTGCTATTGCATTAATGTTTCAATTAATAATTTTGCGTATTATGATGAAATAAAAGTTGACATTGTTCATGTTTCTGGTTAGCTCATTTTAAAAGTACTATCTAGGAAATCTCAGTTTTTATAAGAGAATATAGCCGTTAATTTTTTTCTACAGATTAGGCAAGAGAAGATTTGTGAAAACAAAATGTATTGATCTCATTTATATTCCCTTGATGAAGGAGCACATGCTGGTCTCCGCTCGCTTTCTGCCCACTAGTATGAAACCCTTGCCCTGCTTCCTTGCTGGTAGGTTTTCAGAAGTTCAGTGAGCAATGCAAATCGCCTGAAGGGTGGAAAATTCCCTTGTCACACAGATGCCCTTATCAGCAGCAACCAGATGGAGCTCTGAGCAGGAACATTATCAATGTTAAATTGCTTTTTTCCCCCTGAGTAGAGAGAATGAAGGCATTCCTTTAGAATCGGGTAGCAAAACCTACAGATGTAGGGATATTAGGATTTTTAACAATTTGTGTTTCTAAGTAAATATGTGAAATTACAATTTTGAAGTATTGTGTTCAAAGTATAACCAGAAACAGTTCAAAATGTTTTGTTTTAAATAAATGAATCATATATTTTCTTGAATTCATTTGCAAAGAGTAAGCTTGAAATTTGCCTTCTTTTACAGTGAGGAAGGATATCATCTCACTAATAGTGTTCAATTAATACCTTGAATATAATAAACTAGCTTATTCAATTTGAAAAATATTATTCTTACTGCGTTTTTAATAAAAGTACACAGAAAATTAGGATTCCATTTGATAATTTCTACACACATTATTCAGTGGTTTATTCATTTTTATTTAGAGAATAAAGGCGTGTTTAAGTTTATTCTTATGGTTGAAGAAAAATATACATAATTTAAATTCACTTAAAGATGTTAGTCATTTTTCTGCCATAACTAATTGGCTTTCTTATTACTAACTGTTTTTGATTAAAACTTTAGATTCTGCATCAATTTGATTTTTGAAATATCAGTTTACTATACTAATTATTTTCATTTTATAAACTTAGAAGATTTGTAACTTTATAAGATTCACAATGCGGGTGTTTATAATGTTAATAGTTATAGTGTATTTAAATAAAACTAATTTTAGAAAACCCATAAAAGAGATTGCTTTTAATTAATGATTGTTGTTTATAGGTACTTTGGTAATAGTGATTTCATTTCTTAATACTGATTTCAAGTTCCCATCTAAATTCCAATGAATCATACAATTTTCTGATAGGAAAATGGGTTTACCTTTCTGTTTCATATGGCAGTAATTACACATTGGTTGACAATTGGAGTGCAAATTCTTTCATCACATTCATATTACAGGTTTATGAAATATGTGACTGTTTTCCCCCCATGAGGCCTAGATTTTAGTATTTGCCAGTAATTGAAACTTTGCAATAATTACCCTTTGATGTGTACAATTTCTTGCAGGTACTAATATGAATATGTAAGTAAGGATGGATAAACTTTATCCTCCCCCTTTTGAACTGTATCCCTTTTATTTTTAAATATCAAAATGTAAGTATTACTGATATGTTTAGGCTGCTTTTGCAAGTAATAAAGTTGAAGAACTTGGTTATTTAGGTTGATTCAAAATGCAAGTAAAAAATTTAAAAGGATATATCCAGTTTAATGACTGAAATATATTTTAATGCTTACTTTTAGAACCAACTTGGAACTTGAATTAACTCACCGTGGAGGCAATTTGTGCTCTGGTGGTGCAAGCACAGGTGGCAAAAGGTCTTGTTTAAGTGAGTGCTGGATTCTGTTTCCTTCTGACTGTGTGACTGCTGAAGACGCATACAGGCAAACTGGCTTTGGGGTGTTTTCTAATTCCTTTTGTCTTTCTGTATTATCAATTTTAATAGTGTCATATACTTTTAAGTGGTCAATCTTGTACTTAGAAGAATGACCTATATATTGAGCTCTATGTATAATTACACAGTAAGTAAATGCCATTCATAACATTGATCATATTTACATTAAATGCTGCATTATTATTCTTATCCTTACAAAATTATTCTGTTAAATTAAAAAAAAACTTTTGATAACAACTGGGTTTAAGGCAATCATTTTATAAAGCCAGTGTATCTTGCCTACAGATATTTATGTACAAGGGAGCTTCACAAATATTCGTGAAAATGGAATTAAAAGATAATGGGATTTTTCTGTGAACTTTTTGAAGCCCTTTGGTTTGGGCTGCTAACCACAAGGTCAGCAGAAAACCACTGGCTGCTGCTTGGGAGAAGATGAGGCTTTTTGCTCTCTTACAGAGTTACAGTCTTGGAACCTCACAGGGTGCAGTTCTGTACTGTCGTAAAGGTGAGTTTATACATGAATGAATATATACATATCCCCTTGGGCGTTTGAGACTATGCTCTTTGTGGGAGTAGAAAGCCTCATCTTTTATTTAGGTTTTTTACCAATCTGGAGTTTGTTTTGTGTATTTACTGAGATATGAATCCTGCTTCATTTCTTCTGCAAACGGATGTCCAGTTTTGCCAATACCATTTGTTAGCGAAGCTTATCTTGTCCCCACATTGTGTGTTTCAGTCCTTTGTCAAGAATCATCCGTAAGCAGATGGGTTTGCTTTTCTTCTAGATTCTCAGTTCTCTTCTGTGGGCCTGTGTCTGTCGCGGTACCTATATTTGGCTTTTCTATCATGCATGTGTAGTAGGCTTTGAGTTTGGGAAATGAGAGGCTTCCTGCTTTGTTCTTCTTTAATAGCATTTTGTTTATTTGGGGCTAATTTATTTGCTTAAGTATTAATATTTGCATCACATTTAATATTCGATGTTGGAATGCCGTGTGATTCCTAGCATTTTCACGTTTTAGAAGTTGCTCTTCACTGATTCTTTAGTTTTTATTTAGCCCTTGGTGTCCCTCTCGTCTTGGATTTTAGCCAGTGATTTAGTGGTATGCTTTAAAGGAGAAATGCTTAACCCATAGGGGTCTCAGATTCTGTCTAAATCAATAAATACTATGATTTCAGCTATAGAATAAAATTCATAATTTTCAAGTTACTGTTTTGGATTCACTGATAGTATTTTAGAAATTGTTATATTAGAAAGTGCCTAGAGTTAGCCAAACTGCTGTCTGGGAGCTTAATCTTCAAAGACTGGCCTCACTTCCTCCCACCGTCTTGAATACATTTCTCCTATCTTGTTCGTAGGAGAGAGAGGGAAAATCATTTCTGATATTCACTTCAAGTTAGGAGGGGGCTTCCCTTTAAACTACCCCCAGATTGAATAATTCATTAGAAAGACTCAGAGAACTCACTGAAAGCTTTTCTAAGAAATTTCTATTTTAGCACATGCATTAACTCTATAAGGAATTAAGAGGGTATCTTTAAATCATGGGGAAGAGTCGAGAAAGGTTGCTTCCATGGTCTTCAACATGTGTTAGAATTCATGTGTGACAATATGCTCCAAGGATTGCCAACCAGAGAAGCTCACTTGAGTTTCAGTGTTCAGGGTTTTTGTTAGAACTTCATTACATAATCATGATTGATTGCCTGCATGCTTTAACCCAGTTTCCAACCCTCTCCCTCCTCTGTGTCACATACTTTATCATGAATAACAAAGACACCTATCACCCAGCCCGGGTGGCATAGTGGATTATGCTTGGGCTGCTAATTGTAAGGTCAGTGATTCAAAACCACCATCCTCTCTCCGGGAGAAAGATGGGGCTTTCTACTACCGTGACAGTCTCAGAAAGGCACAAGGGTAGTTCAGAGTTGTTCTCCAGGGTTGCTAGGACTCAGAATCACCTCTATGGCAGTGAATTTGGTTTTGGTATTGGTTTCCAGCATCTGGAGACAAGGCTACACCTCTCTCTGGACAAAGCCTAATTCTTTACTGCACAGAACCGTTTAATAAATGTGGATATCAATTTTTTTGTTTTTAAAAAACCAACCTTACTTCCTCCCACCGAGGTAGTTAAATTTATATAGAGATTTGTAAATGATGATGCGATCCAGATTCTTGAACATACTAATAAAATGCTAGCAGAAACTGCTTTAACTGTCAGCCTCTACCCCTTCTAGTGAATTAGAGCTTATAGTGTGAAAACAGAAGAGGTCATGAAGAGTTCATCCAAAATATAAATTAATAACAGTTGTAGGTGTTTATATGAGTTATTATTTTTCAATTTTTTTCCAAACCATTTTATTAAAAACTAATCCAGACATGAAACTATTCCATAGTTCAATCATATCAGGCAGTGTTGTACAATTGCTACCACAATCAGTTTCAAAACATTTTCTTCCTACTTGAACTCCTTGATATCAGCTCCTCCTTACGCCCCACCTCTCCTGCCATTCCCCCTGCCCCACCCCGTATTCTAGGTATTATCTCTATATAAATTCACCTATCCTGGATTTCATCTACTGGAAAACATAGAAAATATAAAAAACCAGTGCAAACACAAAGTGTATCAAAAGAGAGATCAAGTGGCAAGGTTTTAACCATAGAAGTCAGATTTATCACTTTAATCTATTATGGTCTTCTCTCCATTATGTTCTGTCTGATAACCAGATTATTCCCATTCCTTAATTGTGGTTAGAGGGAAATCACCAGAGGTTTATTCCCTGTGTAGATCCTGCAAATGTATTTTCGGCTTCCACTGTCATCTATAGCCTTCTGCACACCAGAACCTCACAATTTAATCTCTGATACTATTCTCTCATAGTATTTGGATTTGGATTATATAATTGACAATCCTTGGAACACGGATGTTGGTGTGCTTCTTCCATGCTTACTTGATGTCTTATTTAGATGACTGCTTGTTTGAAAACATGCCTTAAAGAACCCCGATGCTATTCTTCCTGATATCTGGGCACCATCTAATTTCTTCACTACACATTGCTGTAGCACCCATAGTTTTGGTGTTTGCTTCATAAGGGCGAGTATTGAGCAGGGCCATGTCATACTAGTTGTTCTTAGATTGGAGCTAGGATTAAGTGTGAGCCCAAATTCATTCCTGAATCTATGTTTTTATCTATCTCTGGTTCACCTTAGAGACATCATTGTTAATTTATGGTAAAGAATCTTATCGATCATCTTCCTGGAACATAAGGACCTTCTGTTTATAGTGTCATTGATTAGCCCATGGTACTAATTTTAAAACACTATTGAGATGGGGAGATTGAACAAGTGTAGGATAACTACGTATCTCAATACATGGAGTATTAACTTGTTCAGAATAAATTCTTACATGACTGGATGCTATTTGCACAAACAATGGGAGTTGGTGGTCAGGCAAAACTTACAATAATATTCACTCACAATGCCAGACCCAGTTCTGCCAGAATAATACATATATTAATACAGCAAGTAGGGCATTGAAGTATTAAGTAAACGTTAGTCCGGCTACCGATAATTCAATGCTCTTGCTATAAGTATCTTCTACGACTTCACACACCATGTAGTTTCAGTCTTAAGTCGTCAGGTTGTAGGTGTGTTTGAGGTTTACACTAGTTCTCTTCATGTTTTAGTTTTATGCTTATGTTGATAAAAAACAGTTCTCTAATTTGTGAGTATAAAATACATTGCATGTTATAAAACCTCACCATTTCACATATATGTAAACTTAATAATTAAAAAAAAAATTTCCCCAAGCTACAAGCAATCTATAAGGCATAACATAAATTGAAATCCAGGGCATAAATTGAATAATGGCTCATAGGATGTCAGATCAAATTGTGCTCTCTCTCTTTTTCAATAAAGTTTTAATAAACAATAACAGTCTTTCCTATTGGGAATCTCATTTTCTTACTCATTTCTCTCCTTCACACTATAGATTATTTCCTTTTTAAAGTGTTTTCTCCTTCTCCATAATGTCTTTTGGGAAAGAGAGTAAGAAAGTGCATAAAGATAAGGGAACATTTATGTACTCATTTAAAAAATGTTACATTTTTGGAACACTATTCCATCATAACTTTTAGGTAAGATTGAAGGCTTGTTTAATTAGTAAAATATTTAATAAATTCGGTCTAAACAGGACTGAATTATGCCAAATATATAAGGATGTAAATTTTACCAATAAAATATTTTTATTTCTACAATAATGGAAATAAAATAATTCTAAATTATTCAGAGTCCATCAGCTAGCTATGATCCAAATAAGGTTGAAGTCAAACAGTATTATATGATACCTATATCTTCAAACAAGTTGTTTATAAATATTAAAGTTGTTAGAGCTGATTCAAAAATTTTTTAAAGTGAGTAAAATTAGTCCATCTAGAAGCATATGTGGTATTATAATAATACTTTACCCTTATTTTAAAATTTTAAAAATATTTTCATATATTTTAAAAAATTTAAACTTTAGAATGACCTTGGTATTTAAGTATTATTTCTCTTTCATAGCAAAAGAAACTAAAGTTCATAGCAATTGCTTTGCCGAGTTATATGGCTGGGAAATGTCACAGCTTGCACTTGAGCCCTGCTCGTGTCATTTTAAATTCAGTTATGCAGGAACACATTCCCTGCCTATACGTGCCATAAGAAACAAATCTATTCGCCAGTGGTTTAGTCAAGGGTATTTCAGTGCACGTTATAGCCCATTCCAGGCTCTGCCATGCATCTTGTCTGTGTCCTTTTGCCAGCCCTTTGCTGTGGATTCTATTTTTGTTTTGGCCACTCTTTTAGAACTTTTCTCAAATCTAGATCCCTATGCACTTAGTTCTCCTTACTCCTCACCAGTTTTCTGGCGGCTTCCCCCATTTTCCCATTGAGTACAATCCGCATCTGTTCCTATGTGTGGCTATGTTGATCTCTGAGTCACAACTCTAGATCCCTGCTCACCTAGCAGGAAAAAACGTCAGGGTTTGGGGATCAGCAGATAACCCTTGCTCTAGATAATTTACTGAAGGTAGAATTATTAAGTTCTGCAGAGAGGTATAAGACATTTGGAGGTTTGAAATCATATCTACCTGGTGGAATCTGAAATTTTCATGGACATGGCATTTAATTAAGACTTTGAAATATAATTGAGATTTAGAGTTTTGATTATAATTATATACATTGATTAGTATCACCAGCTTGGTTAACAGCATACCCCCTGCCCCAAATGGAAAAACTTGATATTATTGTCTTTCACTCAAATTTAAAGAAAAAAAATGAACATTTAGGCTGATCTATATAGTCCATTTAGTTTGGGTAAATTAATTTTGAGATGCCTTTTGAACATCTGAAGTCCTAGAGAGATTTATGAGTTGCAAATTTATAGGTAGAGTAGAAGGTAGCATAGGGTGAAATTGTGTAAAATGAGACGGATGGAGGACTGATGAAGGAGTTCAGGTGATTGCCAGCTTTAGGTGGAGTAAAGGAAGAAATTCACACTCTGGCTAAAATTATTCCAAGAGAGATTTGTTTGATCTCTGGCAGTCCATGGATATTCAGTGTTCTTCACCAACAGTCTTCCTTATTCATTGTTTAGCTTGTATAAGCATATGAGGCAACTGAAACACCACGATCGGGGGCCAATTAAACCGAGATCCTCAAAGTGACATGTTTGCTTGTTAACACTTTAAAGAAGTCTTTGGCAGCTGATTTGCCCGATGGAATACAACATCTAGTTTCTGTGTCCATGGATAGTCATCATAGATCAAGTAAAACAAAATCCTTGGCAGCTTCAATAGTTTCTCAATTTATCATCATGAAGCTGTTGTGAGACACTTTAAATGGTGAGGCATACAAACCTTAATTTTCAGCAAACAAGGTGGTATGTGTATATTGTGGGTTATTAGTAATTTTCCCTCTAATCCTTTACCACTTTCTCTCCCCCCCACCCCATCTTCTCAGATTACTTGTTCAGCATTCAGATCGTATAAATATAGTGAAAGGATACATCAAGATATATACTTTACTGATTTTAAACCACATAGTATCCACTTGTTCTGCCTCTTGTTTTAAAGAGTTTTGACTCTTTAATTTGACTATTTAGGGAACATTTAGATTTGTGCTATTACCTAATTTTTGGTGTACTTTTAATGAATTTTAGGAGCCATGAAAGTTGAATGAACCCCTCACAATATTGCCCTTAGATAATCTTTAAAACAAAATTTCTTCTTGTTACAAGCATGCTGCGATTAGTAAAAAGTGCCTATCTTGAGCATTGGGTTCTTTACAAAGCTGTATCTATGGGACCCAATTGGCCAAAGCAACTCCCAAGTTCAGGAAGGAGTTTTAGTGGCAGTGACTTGATGGTAATGGGAAGGAGAGCGAGAATAGCTGTGCCATGTGCAGGAGGTGGTGGCTGGACGTCCATGTGAAGACTGTTGCATCGGTGTATGCTTTGTTGTGTATGTTGTGAACAGCAACAGGAAAATAAGTACACATGTGCATGCAGTAATTAATTTCAACCATATCTGACTTTTTGGAAAATAACTTTTGAGTGTCTGTGGCAAAATGATCCAATCCTTATTATTTATTGAAAAAAGAAAGGGAGAGGGAATGTATCTTGGGTACAGAAACAAAATTTATGGTTTTTTCCCCTGAATGATTAAACATTATAAACAAAAATTTTCTCCTACTAAATGCCATCAGTAGAATTTTGTTGAAAGCTAAAATTGTTTTCATTATATTGTTTTTGTGATTATTGTTACTTAGAGAGAAGAAGTTAAAAGTAGCAGGATTAGTCCTCATGAGTAATCTCTTATTTTCATTTACTTTTTCTGCATGCTGATTTCACAATTTATTCCAAAGAGACTTTAAGGGAAAAGATTAGGAAAAGAAAAAGCTCCCCCTAAGAGTAATTTGTGTGGATATCATTAGCCTTGTGTGTGGAGGCTAGCAGATGTGGAAAACACATTATTTTAGCACGAGTCCTTTAGCACTAGCCTAAGTAAGTGTAGAAAATATGCTTAATAATAACCTAAAGTACAATTCTATAAAAACAAATTTATGGAAATTCGTGGTGCTTTTATTAGTATCAATAAGAGAAAGGAGTTCTTTATTTCCTGACATTAAAAAATATTTATTAAGTAAAAAGATAGAATTTATGTGGCATTTGTCAATATAGAAGACATAAGTCTTCTTCTGGGCCTAAGCAGGTTTTATCTTTCCACTGGACCAAGCATGCAGGTTTAGTAAGAGGGATGCTTATTATGAATGTATTTTAAAGTAGGTTGATTATAATATTTTATAAACATAAAAAATGTTTTGAAAAAACAAAAATACAAATTATCCAATATGTAGAGATAGCATTACAAATCCATTGTTCTGGAATATCTCAAATTCATCTGAAAACTGGTACTGGATTCATTTAGAAATTTATAATCATTCATAAATAAGTATAAAAATTGGACTAGAATATTAAATTTCTAGGGTACCTATTTTATGTTAAGGACATGTATTTCTGTATTTGTGAAGTTTACTATTTCAAGTGGCTTAAAATTCCACTTGGTAAGACAAATAAGTCTTGACATTTAAGAAATATTTACTAATTTTTCCTGATAGCATTTTAAATTACATAGTTTAGAAAAAATTATTGTTATAACAAGGAAAACGGAAGTTATCACTGGTGTCCATGAAATAATTTTGCTTTGTTATTTGATTTACCAGCATAGGGTGTGTGCATCTAGCTTTGCTTGGTTTATGACATGGCAAAGGATACATTGTTTTAAAGGGCACCTTGCATAAAATGAGTTTTTATGTTTGGTTTCTATAGGAAAGTAGAGTATTGAAATTCTCAGTCAACTTTGAGTAGGAGGGAACCAGCACAGTAGTGAGATGTGCACGTTGACACGTCTGGAGTGTGGGGTCAAGGGGACAAGCGGGTCTGTGGCAGGGAATGTGGTAAACAGACCATTCCTGTGTGTAGATTGAGCTGAAGGACAGTCCAGACTCTAAAAGAGAGAATAAACTAATTGATAGTTAGCTTAAACTTGGTAAACTATAAGGATAAGAAACAGATTTCTCTATGAATTAATTAGAAATGTCATCTGAGTTTTGTTTTGAGAGAATTACGTGAACTTTCTAATGGTCTCTTCTCCAATTAATTTAGATCAGTTGTTCCATGTATTAGCCTTGCACATGCGGTTGTACAGCATTGATACTGAATATAATCCCTGGAGAAAACTCACGCAATTAATAGAAGACCTGAATTCACAGTAAGTACTGAAAGGATAAAGTTGGCTAAGATTGTTCTTGGGGAAAAAAGTATAAACACAGAATTAAAATTTCTTTGTGAATGCGTGGGGTTTTTTACTTCACATTTTCCTTCTAAAATGCAGAGCTACAAAATAAAAATTGAAAACAGTTTGCCATTATGTTGATGTTGTTGATAGATGTCATCAAGTCAGTTCCCACTCTAGCAACCCCATGTACAGCAAAATGAAACATTGCCTGCTTCTGTATGATTCTCAAAATCACTGCTCGGTCTGAGCCTGTTGTTAAAGCCTCCTTCTCACTGAGGGCTTTCTTTGTTCCCCGATGACCCTCTCTCTCCAAGCATGGCGCCCTTCTCCAGGGGACTGGTCCCTCCTGACTGGTTCATTCTTCTGGCAGCCTATGTATGTTCCGTTCCAATTAGCCCCAGACTAAAAAGAACCCCTTACTTGCTCTTGTTGCCTGGAAGGTTTACATGCATTGTAGCAATTTGTGTACTTTATTTTCATTGCCTTCTTACTTGTTTGTGGAGGCTTTTCACACTCTTTGATCCAAATATTGGAAATACAAGGCCAAACGTGGTCTGGTCTCTGCTTTGACCCGTTTGCATTTGCACCCTCATATTTTCCTCATGCACTGACATTCCAAACATACTAGATAGTATTCTTGGTTTTCTTGATAGGTTTTCTTTCTTTGATTCTTTCATGATTTCTTATTTTGGTGACACTCTTGGGTGAGTACTAGATTGCTAGCCTTGAGGTTGGCAGTTCGAGCCCACCAGCTGCTCAGCAGGAGAAAGACGTGTGACCTCAGGATTCCTGTCTAGAGTTGCTGTGAGTCAGAATCCACTCCTCCAGTCCCCATACCCTGTCTTGTCCTTGCCTTACCCGTTTACCACCTCCTGTTCCTTTTTTGGTAAGAGTCTTGTCCTCCCCAAGACTCTTTTGTAATACATCCACCTCTATAAAATCTTCTCTGGTCTGTCTGTTCCCCGTGTTTGAGCAGGACACATATTTCCTTTCTAGAGCTCTTAATAGCGCTGGCTTCCTATTATTCAACTCGAGCCACACAATCACTTCATACAGCCTTACCCTTGTGGTATTTTAATTAAATACTCACTCGTAAAATCAATCATTATTTGTGAAATTGATAAATATTGTACTAACTTGAACCCTGGTAACATAGTAGTTGAGCATTGGGCTGCTCGCTGAAAGGTCAGCTGTTTAAAACACCCTTCTACTCCACAAAAAAAAGATGAGGCTTTTGATTGCCATAGAGAGTTACCATCTTGGAAACCCACAGGGGCGATTCTGCTCTGGCCAAGAAGAGTCAAGAAGCAACGCAATAGCAGTGAGTTTGGTTTAAGTTTGGGTTGTACTTCTTAGAGAAGTAGAATTTGAAAATAGAAAATCTTATTTAGAAGCCCTTGGCTTGCTACTTGAATTGGAAAATGATGAACTCAGAACCCCGTATGGCAGGGATGTGTTTGTATGGCTTGTAGGCTAAGAATGGTTTTTACATTTCTAAAGAGTTGTAAGAAATCAAAGCAAAGCAAAGAATAATACAAATAGAGGCATACATGGTCAGCATAGCCTAAAATTATCCCAAATCTGAAGTATAGCTTCAGAATTAAATTCTGGAAGTTTATGATTTATGTTTGTTCACTTACATTTTTTCACTAGGGATGAAAAAATGCAACCTTCTAGAGGAGTAGATTTTTTTATTTTTATGGTAAGATCTACTTTATAATATCGCTGTGTTCTTGGTAGTACAAGAGTCCCTGGGTAATTCAAACAACGAATGCACTCAGATGCCATCAGAGGTTGGAAGTTCCAGTCCACTCCAGGAGCTTCTCAAAAGAGAGGCCTGGCGGTCTACTTACGAAAATCCATCATTTAAACCCAATGGAATATGGTTCTGTGACGTACATGGGGTCGCCATGAGTCAGAATCGACAGGACAGCAGTTGGTTTCCTAGTTCACTTTTCCCAAGGATTGTTATATTGCCCTTCATAGTCTTTTAGATTCAGTTTTGGGTTTTTCTTAACACTTTGCAAACCTTGAAGACTTTATCTGAATTTTATGGTAGTCAAAAATCGAAAAACTTTTTAACCAGCACTATTAACCAGTCCTTGATTTGTAAGCTCCTCTTGTTTGTAATTTGAGCAATTTACTCTTTAGTTATGTTTTGGGAGCAAGTTTTCTATGTGCTACCCCTCTGTAGTGACATTAATTCCTGTAAGTGCCCTTTAATGCATCCTTTAATTTCTGTAACCTTAAGAGATCAGAAAGACTCACGATCAATGTAATGTATGGAAGTTGTTTAGTGAAACAAAATTTTTTTCTCTGTGTAATTTTTTCATGTATGAACTAGTCCAAAGAAAGTACATGAAAAATGTATGAAAAAGTGGAAAAAAAGAAAATATGTGAAACCATCTAAAAGATCATAATTTGTAGGCAGAATTTTCTCTTGAGATTTTTCAGTTGTTTATAAAAGGTTTATATCTGCTCTGTAGACTTATATGCAAAATATACAGTGAATTATGAAGAAAAAATGTACAGTAGGTTCCGAAAGTGATTGTGTATTTTCCTTTTAGGCTAGGGAATGAAGAACACCTAGAGGTTCCAATTCTTTATCACGATGTTACATCACTTTTGCTCATTCAGATCTTAATGATGCCACAACCCTTACACAAAGGTATGTTGTTATCAGTCAGATTTTTAGATATAACATATACCATGACTGTTCAAGGTTGTAGGGACAAATACAGTATGAAGTCTGATGAAATTTTTTTGAATGAAGTAATTTTTTTCCACTATCAATAGTGACGTTATAGATGATGACAATGAAAGAGGTTTTGATGGTTTGTAAGTCTATCCTTTTCAGCTTTTTAGTCAATAATGTAGTAAGTACTTGGGAAAAAATTTGAAAACCATTGCTTTAAAAATGTTAAAATTACTATACAAAAGAAAAATTACAAAATAAAGCAAAAAGTTAGGTATAATACTTCTATTTATATGTGTGTATATTTCAATATAGCAATAATTATAATTATTAAAAATTTAATCTTACCATGTTAACTACTTTAGGTGTCACAGCACTGATATAAAAAACTTAATTTTATATTAGCAACATTTTTATTGCTTCTCTGTAGTCTTCATTAGCTTTCACTTGAAGACGTTAGTATATTCGAAGAAATAATTATTCTGTGTTGGAAAGTTAGTGTTTCTATTTTGTTTTGTCTTTTTATGTTAACTTATGCCACAGTGAGTATCTGTGAGCACATAAACACCTTGTTTGAAAGTCATTTGTCATTGTGGGCTAACCTTAATCATTTGACAACGTTTTACCTAAGAGTATGAAATACTCTATTTTAAATGTAAACACATTTTACTATTTCACCTAATAGGAAGGTCTGTAAAGAGTAAAATGTCACTAATAAACAAGTGTAATATTTATTTTTACATTATCACTGTGAATATGATGATATTTTAATTGGGAAGCATTTTTGCAACCAAAAGTTAATGGATTTTTTTCATGAACAATATAATAGGAGCTTAAAATTTGTAACTTTAAAAAGTAGCCTACACTTTCCATTTTAATATTAGGCTTGATTTAGTGTGAGTTTTAACATGCATCACCAGAATCTTACCTCTTTCAACCCATAAAATCACTCATTTTAATTGTGTTGCTCAGTGATTTCAATACATGGGTACAGTGTACAGCCCCGAGTACAGTCCGCTTTAGGACACTGCTCTTTGCCCTTTAGCCACATGTCCCTTCTGGCCACCGCTGATCTGCTTTGTCTCTGTTGATTTCCATTTGTAGAAATTATGTGTAAATTGGATATTTGTGTGTAGCTTCTTTTACTCAGCCTTTTCATTCTTTTGCTGGCTCTGTGGGTAAGGCATTGGGCTGTTCAGACCAGCTCCACAGGAGCTGGTTGAGGCAGCTTCTCAAAGGTTTACAGCCTCAGAAACCCACAGGCCAGTTCTTCTCTGCCCTACTGGATCTCTCTGAGTTGGAATCGACTCCGTGGCAGTGAGGTTTTTTTTTAAATGGCAATTCTCTCTTTAACATTCTGAGAAATAACCAGAATGTTTAATGCATTGATTTAAAATACATATATAGCATAAAATTAACCACTTTAAAATGAACCAATAAGTGGCAATTAGTACATTCACAAAAGGAACCCTGGTAATACTGTGATAAGCACTTGGCTGTAAACTGAAAGGCCAGCAGTTTGAACCTACTAGCTGCTCCACAGGAGAAAGAGGCCCTTCTGTGTCTCTACAGATCACAGCTTATAAAGGGCAAGAGGAAAGGAGATGGAAAGAATATTAACACTTATATTTTGTGGAATCTTAGGTGGATCTCATGGTTTTATCTGAAAATAGGTCATCTCTTAAACTTGTAAGATTTAGCACGATTTTCAGGTTAAAAGACCTTTTTATGCTAGTCGTCTCATAAGAACCTCAAATATGTTAAAGACAGTGTTTTTCTTTGATCTCTTTTCATGTCCCTGTTTCTTACCCATCAGTAATGCCTATCACATCACTGGCCTCCAAAGAATAAGCTTGGAAGTAACTTTCAGCACTCTTTGGTTACTTATGGTTAGTTTTCATATCTGAGGGGAAGGGCGTTTTATCCTTAAGATCAGGTTTGGTTCTGTAGGACAGAAAGGAAACTCAGTGTAACATACACAGTAGCTTAAGAGAGAAGTCCGTTTTCCTTTCATGTGACAAGGAGGCAGGCAGGCGGCCAGGGCCTTCTGTTTCCACTCCCCCAGGCCCTCAGGTTAGCGCTCCTCTTCATGATTCGTGGTGGCTGCGAGAGACCAGCTAGCGACCAGAGTCCATTTCAGGCAGAAAGTGGGGGAGTTAGGAGAAGACATTCACCTAACTTTATAAAGCCCCTTTACAAGATTCATATAAAACTTACACTTTGACTAAGAGGTTTTTTTAACCCTCAGGGTTTAGAACCTAAGATCGCTGTAGTTTTTGTGGGGTCAGTTGCTCCGGATCATGTTCTTTCCCATCCCTTAGTCATTGGCGAGCTTCAGGACTCTGCTCTCCACCTGGCTGTGTAGGTGCAGACTCCTCAGGATTCTCTGGAGCACCTGGTGTTGGTGATTATAGGCTGTCCTCTGCTTGCAGCACCCATAAGCAGGGCCTGTGAAGGAGAAATAGCAGGGTGCTTATTGTTTTCCATTCACTTTAAGAAAATGACTCAGTTTTGCTTTCTTATAAACTAAAGCTTAAAATACACATTTTTTATTTTAGGATATTTCAAACACATGGAAGAGTCGAGAGCAGAGTTTAATAAACCTCCGCGTACCCTCTAATTATCAACTCATCACCGATTTTGTTTTATTTATATCCTCACCTACTCCCTCCCCTCCCCACCCCAGCTTATTTTTGAAGCAAATCCTAGATATCATTTTATCTTTATAGCCTTCAGTATGTATTGCTGAGAGAAGTACTATTTTAATAAATATAACCACAGTACTATTAACACACTTAGAAAAGGCTGTGACTCCAGCACGAATGTGGGTATTCACTACCTTTTTATCTCTCGGGTTTTGAAACCCTTTCCTATTTTTCATGCCTGGCTCACTGACACAACTCTGACTCCCTCAGCTCGTGCTGGTGTCGCTGCAGAGTCAGGTTCACGCCCGTTAATGTCGGTGCCCTGTGCTGCTCTTCCCCTTTTAGGCTTTCATACTCAGGAGCAAAAATCAGAAATAGAGGCAAGATTTATATACGATGGCCATTTAAAATATTGTAAATTTACGAATTAGAGTGTTTGTTTTTTTAATGTTAAATTGCATATAAATAATTAGGTACGTAGGTGGAACACCTGTGCGGCTCTTTAATCCTCTCAACCATTTTTCACTACCACATAATTTGAAATCTCTGTTACTGTTTTCAGCCTTGTTCCTTCGAAGACATGTTAAGTAAGCAGTGATCTTTTTACCCTCAGGTGGTTTGCTAGTGGGTTTGTTTTTTAAACACGTTGACTGAGGGTAGATGCCCCATCTTTTCCCTCCTTTTTAGATTGTGATCATCTGCTTATTTTGAAGGGCATTGCTCTCTATTGTAACCTTGGAAGATACAGCCTGTTTACCTGATATGCACTCCATATGAGTGATTCCGTGTTTCCTTCTAAAGTCTCTAAAAGATGTTGATTTTACACATGGTAATCATTCTGTAAAACGAGGTCAGGTGACCCAACCGAGTCTGAGCTCCGCGACTGACTGAAGGTTCACAGTTTGAACCCACCCAGCGGCTGGGAGAGGGGGGGGGGGCCTTGGTCAGCTGCTTCCAAGAGGAACCCTGTGACGCAGTTTTCCTCTGCCATGTGGGATTTCTCTGCATCAAAATCAACTGCACGTCACCCAACAAGATTCAACAAATGTGTGTGAAATGAATGTAAGGACCTATGCTTAAGCTGTGACCTTTAAAACCGCCAGCTTAAATATTTGAGAAATGATAATCAAGGCAGATGAAGTCTGACTAAAAACAAGTTAGTGCTTTACTACCCTGAGAAGCTAAAATATATTTATCGTAGCTGTCATTTTTCTTCATGCATTACCTCTTTTAAATAAAATATAATAAAAACTCACAAAGTTCCTAATGAAAAGAAGCTGTGTGAGTGGCAGTATAAATGACCTCCTGATTAAAATCTTTTTGCTTGTGTTTAGTCTTATTCTATAATTTTTGTCATTTGATTAAAGTATTTTATTAGGTAATATAACACTCTTGATTTTGATAGTAATACCCTTTCTCCTTCTCTTTTTCTACTTATTTCATTCATCTCTTCCTATCACCACTCAGAATTGTTCCTGTCTTCTTCCTTTTTAATTGTATCTCATTCCTTGACCATCGCTTCAACTGCACCTACTCTCTGTACCTCTAGTTAATCTCTACCTCTAGGCTACAACTCTGTAGTGAATTTCAGACCCAAGGTCTTCAACTTACATCTTGAATTCCTCTTCTTCCCACCCAAACCTGCTCTCTTCCTCAGTTTTCCATTTCAGTTGATGGTGCTATCATCTGCCCTTTGTGCAATGAGAAACTATCGTCACCCTCTGGATATCCTATACTTTTTATCATTGAAACATTTTTCTTTACTGTGATCCATTCTCTCCATCCTCGTTGCTCTTCCTTAGTTCACACTATCATAATTTGTCATACGTAGTATTTTGACTCGATGATAATGAATTTGAGCTTGAGATTAAGTGTTCTTGCCTCCATTCTGAGCCAGTTTCAGCCCCCTTTCTCCTAGAAAGCAGTAGGGAATATCCTAAACTTCTAGTCCAATATTATGACTCTCCTGCATACAATGATTGGATGTTTTCTCCTTGTGCAGTATATGAGGGGGTACTCCCCCCAGCCCCCCAAAAAAACCTGGGACACTGCCCCCTCCAAGCTATGTATTTGAATTTTTTTACAAAACAACCTTATCATGTTCAAAGGACTCTCCATTACACTTAATGCATCTGTAAAATCTGCAACTCCATTCTTGGAAATATTTTTCAAACTCATCCATTTGGATGGCTGACGTACTAGTACCTCCCTCGTTTTTTTTCTTCACTTTTTCTATGTTGTCATTTCACATCTCTCTGCATTTGCGGAAACACAAAGAAGTCTCATGGAGTGAGGTCAGGTGAGTAAGGTGTGTAGGACAAGAGAGACATGCTGATTTTTGCCCAAATCTGGCACACAGACGGCTGCGTGAGCAGGTACATTGTCATGGTGGTAAAACCAGTCCCCTGTCTGCCACAAATCAGGCCTTTTTTGTCGCATACTGTTAGGCAATCTTTTCAGAACCTCTAAATAGAAAGCTTGATTAACAGTCTTACCTGGTGGGACAAACTCCAAATGTACTACAAGTTGACATTCTCATCAGTTTGGGAAGTCGATGGATGTCCAGGAAGATGTTTGGCATCGACCCACATTTCACCCTTTTTGAAACAAGAAAACCACTTGTACACGAGTTTTTCCCGTAGCGCTGTCCTTGTAATCTGTGTTCAGCATCACAACAGCTTCTGCTGGCATTTTTCCCAAGAGGAAAACAGAATTTCACAGCCTCACACTATTCTCTTAAATTGGCCATCACAAAAAACCAAGGCTCAAGTGAAACTGCTTTTACAAAGAATTCACTGGGACCAAAGAGAACCTTCCCAGGTGACACCATTGGGTGCACTAACTCAGAGCAAATTGCTCGATGCTCCCCTAGTGGGGAAAATGTGTATTACGAAAGTTCTGTCCAGCAGAGCCCTTTTCTGTTTTGGGGGGTTACCCCCTCGTAGATGCTGCAAACTCAAATATTTGTAGCTATCCAACAAGCAACCTAAATTTTAATAACAAAAGATATTTAATAAGCACTTGCCATTTTCACTCAGGTTTGAAGCACGTAAGTGGGTAAACTTTATTTCACCTAATGTTTTAAGGCAGGCACTATTGTCTCCATTTCCCAGCACTAGTGAGAGTGGCCGAGCCTGAGCTGTTTGTACAAACATTGTGGCTTGTGCTAATTTAACCCGTTTTCCTTTTGGGAGCCTGGAATCTGGGTACATGCTAGTCAGAAGGTGAGCACCTTCTATTCCCTAGTAGAAGCCTTGGGCACCGCGTCTCTAATGAGTCTCCTACGTGTCACAGCCTGCTGCTGGTGGCATTAAATGAATCGCGTGTGCCTCCACTGCGTAAGGACCCTAACTATGACTTCTGGAATTTACCCGATATACCTTTTCCTTTTGCCAATTTTACTTTGTATTCTTTTATTGTAATAAATCATAGTGTCTGCAACCTGCTGTGTTTTGTGATCCCCGGAGAATTATCAAATCTGGGCGTGGTCTGGCGAAGCCCTACTGCAGCCACTTAGGCTAGGTTTATAGACCTGGGCAAGAAAGGCTGGAAACCTGGTCCAAAATGCAAAACTGACAAGAAATATTTTAAAATTAGAATGGACAGGACTTGGTGACTGTTTGACTGTGGGGTGAGAGATGCAGGATACTATCAAGGATACTTACGAGTTATTTACTTCAACAATTTATTGGAAAGCAGCATAGTACAATAAAGGGAATGCCGGAGCTGAGGTAGTGTGATCTACGTGGGTGTAAGTTCAGACCTGGGCTTTTATTAGCTCTGATATCTCCAGCACCCCCTTCTGAACCTCACTTACGCAACTGAAACTGTTAAGAGGATCAAGACCTTTGAGGAAGTTGTGTAAGTTATTTGCCATATATAAAAGCAAATCATGATTATTATGATGCCTTATTACTACGTATGTGATATGTGCCAGCCGTTGACAAGCATTTTATGTATTACTGGGTTTTTTTGAAGTGTCATTTCAGCAAATTCTGAAACTCAATTAGAGTGCTTAAAATATCAGTTTATCTGGTTATTTTTTTATTTTTAGTTTATATGATCTACTTCATATTCTTTGGAGGCAAATAGAGTGTGATTTTAAACATTCAAATACAGATGTTTGCTGAGGCCTGGTGTGCAGTCAGAGGATTTGCCAAGGTTACACAGCCATGTCAAAGTTGAGGGCGTTAACACTCCGATCCTCCACGACGGAGCTCTCTTTCCCGGGTGTCAAATGCTTCTCTAATTTACACACACTCGGTGGACGAATAGAGCAGCTTTAATTTTATAATTTCAAATGTGTTGGGTAGCAAATGTAATCATACCACACAACTTCATTTTATTAAGGAGCCTCGCCAGTTTTGGACAGAAGCCAGTTCCACGTGCCAGGAAAGATGTATATTATGACGAGATGTTGAGCTTTGCGTATAAAGGGTCTAGATCCTCAAGCGTTAGCGCCGCTCTCTTTCTGTTGTAGACCACTTTACCTGCATTGTGAAGGTGCTGTTTACACTGCTCTACACCCAGGCGCTCACAGCACTCTCCGTTAATTGCAGCGAGGAAGACAGGGCAGCCTGGAAACAACTGGGGGCCCTCAAAAAGGTGAGTCTCTTGTCTGAATAGGAGTAAATGCCACCAAATGTTCAAAGGACAAAAAAATGAATTGTGATTGGCACTGGAATACCTTTTAGAGTGAAAAAGTGAAAAATATTTCGCTTGTACAGTGAAGTTTTCTGCAGCTGTCTCAGCACCTTGCATATTGTCCCTATTTGGGCAGTTCTGTGTTGTCTTGTTAAAAGCTTTAAACTTGGAGAGGTAGTGCGGATGCTGCCAACACAATGAACAGGTAAGAAAATGTCAGCAGTATTGCCTGTTTCACTCAGCCATTATCTTTTTTTCTTGTCCTTTTCCCGTGTCGCAATCCAAAGATACCTTTTGACTTACTACTTCTAAATTTACAAATCCTTGTCTTTTCTTAATTATACCTCTTTAAAGCCTGCCCTCCACCATGTTAGACTGTGTAATTTATCAGCAAATTCACAAGAGTTCTCTTTAAATTAAAATTATATCATTTAGAAAATGTGTGTAAAGTTTAGTTCAATGTAGGTAATTTCAATAGCTTGAAAATAGGATGGTTCTATACAGAACCAGAGAACTGGGCTGACTTCAGTGTTTACTTTAGGAAAAATGAAGAGAATGTACTTGTAGTTGAGCTTCGTGCTTGGCTATTGAAAGAGCTTTTAATCTTCACATAAATGGCATCTATATATTAACGGAGCAAATTATAACCACATTATAAATACATGAAATATATTCAGTATGACCTTATGTTAGTTTACTACCAAATCACAAGAATGTGCCCCAAAATTGAATATAGCATCATTAAAAGTTCATTGTGCCTTAATTCCAAAACTCACTGCCATCAAGTCAATTCTGACTCTCAGCAACCACAGAGGAGAGAGCAGAACTGCCCCTGTGGATTTCCAAGGCTGCAAATCTTTGTGCAGTAGAAAGCCTCATCTTTCTCTCTAGGAGTGTCTGGTGGTTTTGAACTATTGACCTTGTAGTTAGCAGCCCAACACATAACCCGTTATGCCACCAAGACTCTTTATGTCTTAATTAGGGAAATTAATTAGTTTGCCATTAAGCCTATTCCTCTGTCCTCCCACAGCATACTCGACTTTTCTGCTGAGTTTGGTAATTCGTTATAATCGTGATAGAGAATGTACAGCTGATGCTCACAATTATGGGGTTTATTAGGGAAATTATGAAGTTATAATACAGATGAGAAATGTTCTGAGTACAGTTTATCAACCAGGACAGTTTCTTCTCTGTCATGGCTGCAGGCAGGCCTCTCAGGCCCTCAGCTACTTGACCTGGCCACTGCCCTCCTCAGGCTGTTACAAAGCTCTTTTAGGCTTGCCATTGAATACCCAAAGGATATGCCGTTCCACTGGAACCCTCAACCCAAAGCAAAGGCATTCAGCTCCATCAACGCCAGGTCAGGAAACCCAGCTCTCCAATGAGTGCCTGGCCCTAGAGGTATCCTATTCCACAAGACAGTCTCCTGCCCAAAGGCGCTCAGCTTTACTCACCGTGAGTCGCAGAGTCCACTGCTCTGTCTCCTGTGTTTCCCCCTGGTTCTGCTGCTGCTACTCCTGATGTCAAAGCTGTCTCCTGGATCAAGGAGGCTTAGTGTCCAGGGATCTCAAGGTCCAAACTTCTTCTCTTATGCCTGTGAAAACCCCCTTCCTGCTTTGAGATGGCTGATTTTATACCCAACAGGATGTCGATCACAGTTGACGCTGCTAATAATCACAGGTGAATCATATAATCTCATCATTATCTTCCCACACCTTCTTACCCACACCCATCAAGGAGATGTCGGTTGTTTTGATGGAGTGACAAAGGCTATGGCTGTAAGAGTTATATTAAATAATTCATTACATTGCATCCCTGCAGGCCAAATACTGTCACTAGAGATGTAACTTTTTCGGTCAAGATGCACAAAATACCCGGGCTTTGGCTTTCTCAAAAGACAAATGAGAAGCACGGTCCTCATGATAAGGGCACCTGCAAATTCTGTTGAACTAAAATTATCACAGCTATTTGTCTTTCTCTGAGTGTTTTTCCTCCCTTTTTCCTAGTTGCTTTTTGGGTTATTTTACTTTTGCAGTTATCTTTTCCATAGTTCTCTGAGATGTAGCATTCACATTAAATGTTTCTATGAGTTTCTATGTTGTATCATTATATACAAGGGGGAACCCCTCAAAACCGCAATTCTGGCACACATGCCATTCCCCACCCCAAGCTACGTATTTAAATTTTATTTTATTTTTTTACAAAAAAATCTTATCGCCTTCAAAATACTCTCCATTACACTTAGTACATTTTTTCAAATCTGCAGTTCCATTCTTGGAAACATTTTTCAAGCTCATCTGTTTGGATAACTGACAGCACCTCCCACATTTTTTTCTTCATCTCTTTTATATCATCAAATTCATGTCCCTCTGCACTCGTGGAAACAAAAAGAAGTCACATGGAGTGAGGTCAGGTGAGTAAGGTGCGTGGGACAAGAGAGGTAGCCTGTTTTTGCCAAAAACTGCCACACTGAGATGGCTGCATGAGCAAGGTACATTGCCATGGTGGCAAAACCAGTCCCCAGTCTGCCATAAATCAGGTCTTTTTTGTCACACACTGTTATGCAATATTTTTAAAGCCTTTAAATAGGAACGAACTCCAAATGCACTATAAGTCGACATTTTTTGTCTGTTTGGGAAGTTGATGGATGTCCAGGATGAGATTTGTCATCAATCGATAATTTCACCTTTTTTGAAACAAGAAACCACCCACACACTTGCACTTTCTCCACAGTGCTGTCTTTGTAAGCTGTGTTCAACATCACAACAGTTTCTGCAGCATTTTTACCAAGCAGGAAACAAAATTTTACAGCCGCACGTTGTTAAATCAGCCATTGCAAAAAAAAAACGAGGTTCCAGGGAAACTGATTTGATGAAAAAATTTATTGGGACCAAAGAGAACTTTCCCAGGTGATGCCACTGGGTACACTAACTCAGAGTGAGTTGCTTCAAGCTCACCCAGGGGGAAAAATACATACTATGGCGATCACCTAGCCAAACTTTTTTCCCAGTTTTTTTTTTGGGGGGGGTACCCCTGTACAAGTTTTCTTAGTAAATTGTCTAATCAGGAAAAATTATACATTTTACATATTTGCTGCTATAAATTGGGGTTACTTCCCTCCATTTGATTATTTGCTTAAATGAAACCTTATGGGGCTGAAAATTAGACCATTGTAAATCCATGATTGATAGAAAGAACATGAAATGATTTGCATAGCTGTTCTGCCAGGGTCCTTACTCAATTTGATAAAAAGTAGTCATTTAAAAAATATTCAATATAATTTATTGTGAGGCAAATTTTTGTGAGAATATAAATTTAAAGTGATTTGCTTATAATATAAATTAGTGAATGAAAATAATTGATATGCTTATAATTTATCAATTATCATCTATTACCTCTTCTGCAATAGATTAAACAGATACATTGCAGATTGAAAATAACAGCAACAACTGTGTTTATTAATGATGAAATATGTCACTGGGACTTGTATTGCTAGGCTTCTGCATTATGTATTTATTATTTTTCTTTATTTCTTTACTTTTTTCCTCATCTTTTTCCCTTTCCCCTGTCTTTTTGCCCTCCTTGAATTTCACTCATTCATTTCATCACAATAATTCCCTATATACAGGTCTGATAATTTTATGACAACAGACTTTTGTAATTCATGGCAAAATATTCCACCCAACATAGACTCTTGCATCTTTCCACTCTTGACCTTTTAAAAAATTTTAACCCGCGCATCTTTGTGACCTGTTTAATGAGTAAGTCTGTGGTGTTATTTGCTTTTCAAATTTTTATGTTCTAATCTCAAGTAATCCCTGCTTACTTAACAATTTTGATTAAATCAATTTTAAAGTATGCTGTGCTACTGTTTTGATAGTCAGTGGAATATTGATTACTTTAGCCTATACAAAAAACTGAACCCACTGCCATCCATTTGAGTTGATTTCAACTCATAACAATCCATGAGAGAGTAGAATTGATTTGTAAGGCTGTAAATCTATGGCACCAGCCAGCCTCATCTTTTTCCTGCAGAGCAGCTGTTTGGGAACAGTTAGGAGCCCAGTTCTTAACCCTCTGCACCGCAGAGCTCTTGGTTCTATTTGCTAAATGATAATCTTGTCTCTCACTGCCCCTGCGTCAGTGCCAGCTCATAGTGACCCTACAGGATAAGGTAGGACTGCCTCTGTGAATTTTCAAGACTGTAACTCTGTAGAAGTAGAAAGCCAGTCTTTCTCCCTGGAGCCTATCATTGGTTTCGAACTGCTGACTTTGCTGTTGGTCCACCATGTAACCAGATAGCCAGGGGTATTTGTCACTCAGAGTTTTGTTAAACAAAATGAGATGTATACAAAGCATAGATCCTGATAGTTCAGAATTTAGAATCTAGTTGGAGAGAGGCCCTTAGCATGTGTGAAGCAACCAGGAAGCATAGAAAGACTGAGTATGATTGTACACCATCATACAAACTCAATATAGACCAGAATATACATACTTTAAAAGTTCAGAATCAAGTTATAGTCCATGATACTCACTTTACTCTACTTTTATATTTTTTCATTTAAAAATGAGTTAATGAGTAGAATGAACAACTGTATATCAAAGTCATGACTATATCCCTGTTTCTATCATACTATGAAATAACTTGCAACAGCCTCTAATTTTTCAATGATTATATGTGAAGAGATGCATTTCCTTTTATGAAAAGGGTTTAGTCATAGGGTTTAGAGTTGTTAAACTTCATTAAGTTAAAGGCTGTTACTTAATGTAATCATGTTCATGCCATCTAATAACTATCCTATTTAATTTTACATTAAATTATTTTAATAAATTCTAAAATAATTTAATCAAAATATAAGGGGAAAAGTATAGTTTATTTTTTCTATTCCATGCAGATATGATTTACACCATTATAAACTGAAGTATTTACTTTTATTTGACTTTACATTATATTTTAAACTTTTTCATATATCTCAAGGTTACTATGTTCTTTGCATTTAAAATATCTACAGGATTAATATACCATAATTTCAGTAACTGCCTCACATTTGTTGGTTATTTCTAATTTTCCGCTATATTAATGCTGCAGTGAATCTCTTGTGCACATAGCTACTTTTCTCTTTTGGATTATTTTTGTAGGAAGAGTTCCCAGAAGTGGGAATTATTGGGTCAGAAGGTATGAATTGCACATGGTTATTTATGTACAAATAATATAATTTACTTATATTTTACTTGTGTTTTGTTGACTATGCAAAGGCATTTGACCACATACCCAATACAATGTGTCCTTTGATCTCTTGACTGCTGCTTCCAATGAACATTGGAAAAACCAAAGCAAACTGTGGATAGCCTTGAGGAGAGTGGCAGTCCCAGAACACTTGATTGTGCTCATGCAGAACCTGTACGTCATGGGTCAAGAGACAGTGTGTGAATGGAATAAAGGAATACTGCCTGGTTCAAAAGTGAGAAAGATGTATGTCAGGGTTGTATCCTCTCATCACACTTACTCATTCTGTCTGCTGAGGAGATTGTCTGAGAAGCCCGATTAAATGGAGAAGAATTCAATATCAGGATTGGAGAATGAACACCATGCAGTATGCAAATGACAATCTTATTTGGTGAAAGTGTGTTTGACTTTGAAGTACTTGCTGATGAAGATCAAGAATTTTAGCCTTCAGTATGGATTACAACTTAGTGTAAACAAAAACCATGTAACTGGATTAGTAGGTAACATCATGATAAATGGAGAAAAGATTGAAGTCAGAATTTCCTCTTGCTTGGCTCCACAATCAATGTTCATTGGAAGCAGCAGTCAAGAGATCAAAGGACACATTGTATTGGGTAAATATGCTCCACCAGACTTCTTTAGGTTATTGAAAATTAGGGATGTTACTTTGAAGATAAAGGTGCGCCCAACCCAAGCCATGGTGTTTTCAATGGCCTCCTATGCATGTGAAAGTTGGACACTGAATAAGGACGACTGAAGAAAGATCGGTGCATTTGAATTGTGCTGGTGATGAACATTGAAAGTACCATGGACAACCAAAAGAACATGCAAATATGTCTTGGAAGAAAGTATAGCTAGAATGTTCCTTGGAAGTCAGCGTGGTGAGACTTTGTCTCATCTACTTTGGACATGTTACCAGGAGAGGCCAGTTCTTGGAACAGGGCATCATGCTTGGCAAAGTAGGACAGTAAAGAGATGAAGACCCTGGGCAAGATGGACTGACAACAGTGTCTGTGACAGTGGGCTCAAACCTAAAGACAGATTGTGAGGACGGTGCAAGACCAGGTTGTGTTTTGTTATGCTGTGCTTAGGGTCTTTTTAAGTCAGAACTGACCCAACTGCACCTAACCTCAACAATGGCAAACTGGTTGATAGGTTGTTTCTTTAAGAAGTATTTGAATAGCTTTGGTCGCTGACTCAATTTCATTGTGAATCCAGAGATATACCCTGTTATGCAAACTAGAAGAATTGACATTTGCATGTTTGAAAGTCAGTGTAAATATTTTATAACATATTTTTTCCATGTAAAATGTTTGTAATTTTGAATGAATGGTTTAACTAATAATTTAATTTTCCCCCCAGAATACGTGTGATGCTGAAAAGTCTTATGAAGCGTTACTGAGCTTTGTGATAAATGAACTATCTAAAGGAAAGTTATTCCATGAAGAAGGTACTCAGGAGTGTGCAACGGTATGCTCTCTAAGACTGAATGTAGTGTGCCAGTTAGAAAAACATTAACTTTTGTTGCCATTACAAATATTACAGAATGAATTGTTCAAATCTCGTTTAACTTTAGGTTAACCCTACTGCTTGGTCTCCTGAGTCCATGGAAAAATACTTACAGGACTTCTGCTTACATTTTTTGAGAATCACCAGTCTTCTTCAACACCACCTTTTTGGAGAAGATTTACCTAGCTGCCAGGTATAATTTAGGGTAGAGAACAGGGAGTCTTGCTTTTATAATAAGCTCAATTTTTGAAATATATACATACGTAGTATAGCCTCTTTATCAGTATCATTTGTCATACATGCATATGTTAGCCTAAGTTAAAAGGATAAATATTTAGAATATTTACTATTATTATTTTTGTGTTTATTATAATCTACCTGTTTTTAATGGCAATATTCCTAGTATTGGATATTTGGGCACTTTGGGATTTGATCATTTATAATGTGCCCCATATTTTAACAGGGCATGGTATTTAACTTCCAATATTTTTATCACTATTCGTTACCTGCTTTAATACCTTTTTTAGTTATTTTGGTCTGTGCGCTAGTAGTTTAAAAATATGCTGGCAATTTTTATAACAGCAAAATGTTTGATTTGTAGCCAATGTTGATGAATGAATTATTACTGTTTTAATCCATTTCATAAATCTCTGGTTCATTTTGAGGAGGCAAGAAAATGACCAGGTAGAAAACCAGAAGGAAAGTTAAGCAAACTGCTTATGCAATATGATGCCGACGTTGTCTGCCATGTGTTTCCCGGGAGTTTTATGTGGGAACCAAGAAATCATATTTATGGCCTTTGGAGTCTGGAGTATATTAGAATCAAGCAGTTTAGTATTCCTTCTCTCTTACATTAAATAGTTTGGATTTTTTGTTTTTATTAAGGGCTAACCTTAATAAAGCTCTGCAAATACGTTCCCCAAATTTTATTCAGAGTTCTAGGATGTTGAAAAAAATATTCATCCATTAGATAGTTTCTTTCATACTTAAAAGAAATTAACTAATATGCATATACTTTCTGGCACATAAGCATCTTCTATCATGGAGAATATTAACTAAATAAAATCAACTCTTCCTTTTTCAACTGTACTTTTTTCATATTTAAAACATGTAGGCTGTGATTGTTTGCATTTTTAAAGTCACTAATGTAAAGTATAGATGCAACAGTGGACGTACTTACAAGGTGGGAGAGAATTCATTTGAATGTAGTTGAGCTGCTGGTCTCACGCTCATTTGCCAGGGCCAGGGAGGGCTTCCCTGGGGAGCTGTAGTTGGAGGAATTTGTCCACTGGAAAAGAGAAAGTAGACACTCTATCCTCCTGAATAGTCTTTTGTTTAATGAAAGGGGAGTTTGGAAAGATGTCTTTGGTGTTTATTAGAGTACCAAACTCCTTTAAAAATGAACTTTAAAATATAAAACGTATATCTTATAAAATCCGATTTCCCTCGATCTTTTTTCTTTGTGGGTTGGTCTTTCAGTTGCTTGACTCAGATCTCTCAAGTTTTAAAAACTCTCCACCTTTGGTTTGACAGACTACTACTACGGATTTGATGAGATGGGTTGTGTGACTACATAGAATATGTTTTTCTTTGCAACTATTATACTCGTGTTCCACAAAAAAATTTTTTTGAGAGAGAGAGGAGAGAAGGATCCCAGTCTTTATTTTTTTTTAATCATTTTATTAGGGGCTCATACGACTCTTATCACAATCCATACATACATCAATTGTGTAAAGCGCATTTGTACATTCATTGCCCTCATCATTCTCAAAACATTTCCTCTCCACTTAAACCCCCGGCATTAGGTGCTCATTTTCCCCCTCCCTTCCCGCTCCCCCCTCCCTCATGAGCCCTTGATAGTTTATAAATTGTTATTTTGTCATATCTTTTGATCCCAGTCTTAAAGAGTCTCCAGATTGCTTACCCATCACCTAGACACTGGTCGGAACAGCTGTAAAGGAGGAAATGTCACATGGAACCGGACACAAGTTCATTAAAAAAAAAAACCAACAACTCTTCTTTTGTTAACTTGGCTTCGCTTGACACTCCCTCACGGTCCTGGCATTCGGCATGGATTCTTATGAATTCTGTGTTTTCACTACTGCTCTTCAGTCACCCCGACAACACATACCTTGCTAACCTAAAGTAGCTTTCTCTTGGCTTCAAATTAGGATTTTCTTTCAGTGAACAGCTATGGTCTATAGCTTATGTTCACCAGATAAGTGACGGCTTCATATAAAAATTAAATACGTCAAAAGAGCAGATGTCATGGCACTCAGAAGTTAAATTTTGAAGAGAAATATTTGGGGGATATGGGGATATAATGGCTAGGAAATTATGTCGCGCCCCTTCCCCCATTCTTTCCTCCTCCTTCATTCCCTTTTCCTTGGTTACTTAATTAAAGTTGTCTTATTGTCCTCAAGTAATTGATGAAGTTGAGACATAAAGTATGTATCATGGGAAACGTTCCTGATGAAGAGCCTTTAGAATGTTCTGCTTTGTGTCTGAAAGGAAGAAGAAGAATGCTCGGTCCTTGCCGGCTGCCTGGGACTTCTGCCAGCACCTTACCCAACAGAACACCCATTCGTCAGTGCCTCCTGTCTCAGTTGGCCACTTCCAGCATTTGATATTATAGCTCAGTGGTGTTCTGAGATAAATTCATTTACGGAAAGGCATGCAGAACAAGGAAAGGTATGTTCAAAGTGTAGTAGTCATTTACCATGGTCATGATGTGCTCATAGTAGAGAGAATAGTGAGAACTCTTTGTTGATGATTATCTATTCCTGCAAGCATTTCTTAAGCGGATTAATTTCAAAGATGATTTTCTTGTATAGATTTCATTTCTGACCACAGAAGCACAAATCCTTCCGTTAACAGAGGTGAGATAGTAGTTTGTTACTTTTAAATATTTCAGGTCAACAGGTTTTTATTGGATACCTCAAATAGCCATGGCACTGGACTTGGAGGAGGCAAAGAAATTTAAAGGTAGACAAGGAACTTATAACTTTATTGGAAAAAGATCCATTTCATGCAAAATTCACATGTTTGGACTAGAGGGTTTGAAAAGGTCCTATCTTTAGCCGTAAAAGGTGCTGGGCCTTTGCTGCTAGCTTGACTGGCAAAAAAAGGATTCTTGTTGGAGATGAGTGATTAGGAGAGAGAAAGAGTGGAGGTAGCTGTACGTGGCTATCAGTGCTCTGGCTGGGTGCTCACATTTTCTTTTTCTGCTAGAGCAGTGTTTCCCAAGGTGGCCAGTAACGGTGGGGCGCTGGAGGTACCTGTACTTTATCCTGAATTAAGGGCTATGGTTCAAAAGGTTTTAATTGCCAGGTGGTGCTGAGTTAAAAAAAAAAAAATCCCCCCACCCCCGCCCCCGAAAGGGGCCAATAGGCCAGATAAGTTTGGAAATTTAGGAGCTAGAGTTACAGTTTTTAAGAAATGAAGTCATATGATGAAATTAATGTTTTAGGGAGGTCAGTGTGCTTCTATTTTGGTAGGTAAATTAAAGTAAGGAAAGATGGTAGTCAAAGAGAAAGTAACCGATGCAAGAGTTAGTTAAGGAAATATGTGGGTTTTGGTGAGGAAATATATATAATTCAAGTTATAATCTTGAGTTCAGCTCACTGTAAGCACAGTGGCCAGTGTCAGAAGCTTTGATAGGAGGATGTTCCTGCTTCAACGCCCTTAGCAATGCCCCACTGCCTGTGGTCTCCTTGCATCACTTTCAGGGACCTTCATCGTCTTGCTTGCCCTTCCTTCCTCATTCTGTACCACTTCCCTGCTACCACCTTCCTTAAACTCCAGAAGAATGCTACTTAATTAAGCATGTGGCTCCGTGTCATGCACCTGGACCACTGCTGATTCCTTTTATCAAAAGTAGTCTCCCTAACCCACATCCTTTTGAATTAATTACTCTTCAAGTTTTTACTAAGATAAATGTTACCTCTTGGGGGAAACTTTGTCTAATAATCCGTCTTTCTTTACAGTTCTACTCCCTTCTCTTTGTTGTGGTGCACCAGTACGTTTGCTACTCTATCATAACACTTGCCATATTAGCCATATTTGTTTACTGTATCCAGAGGGGTGGGTATGTGGGTGCACAATAGACAAGGCTTCTTACTTATCTTTAAGTGTCTGTTCCTAGAATGTGCCTGACACAGACTTACTGTCCTATGCTGTCATGCCATTTCCAGCTCCCAGCTCCCATGTGACCAGTTGGACTGCATACAGATTTTCAGGGCTGGAAGCTTTGCAGAAGCAGATTTTCAGGCCGTGTTCTCTGCAGAGCTGCTTGCTGAGTGGCTTCACAGCTTCACACCACCAACCTTTTGGTTAGCAGCTAACCACCCCACCTTTGCACTGCTGGCTTCCCTGATACAGACCAGTCACCCAGAACATACGAGGGGTGGTACAGGAGTAGACCTGCTGGAAGAGAGCTACGTTTCAGGGAAAATGAGAATGTGCACTTTGAATATCACAGGGAACATGTAAACTTAGTATTTCAGATGGGGTGTCAGACTAGACTTAGGTTTTATAACATTGGAGTAAATAAAGGCAAATGTTCAATAATATATATATAGATGTATATATATGTTTTTAAGAATTGGAGTGATAGGCAGAATTTTTACTAGTTATTTACGCTCACTCCCATCCCCTCTAACGTTACTCTTACACTGCTCTGCTCGGTGCCATCCCTAACCTGAGTCTGACCGAAGTCCCCAGATTCTCTTTTCCAGGACCGTACAGCTTGAGTAGCGAGACTTAGCAGAGTGGCCAGCGAGGCGAGCAGAGTCGTCCCGCAACAGGGCTCTTGAACGACGGCCTTGAAGGGCTGCTGCTGTCTCAGTTGAGGCTCTAACAACAAATTCAATTTTGATTGAAATTAGATGAAAGAAAACCACAAGAGAAATAAATAGGAGTAATTGGGAAGTAATAGAAGGTAGCTTGTACAGAATTGAAGAAGAGCTGAATTTGGGAATAAGAAAAACCATAAGGACTTCTGGCTTGTTTTCTCTGAAGTGCGGCCACTGGATGACACGGGCTCAACCACTTTATTTCCTTCCATGTGTCTGTGCAAGATGAAGATTCCAGAGAGAAGGAATTTGATTGGCTGGCCCAGTTTGCATCATGTGTGCACTCCTATGATGGGGCAGGAGCCTTTGATTGAGGCAGCCTCATCAGAGACAGTATACAGCAGGAAAAGGATTTATTTTTCAAAGGGTCTTATGATGCTGTAAATGTAATAAGGCAATAAAATATAGGAGGAGGTAGATAAAAAGCACCACTACTGCTAGGCATTACATTCACCTGCCCAGACAAGTACATCTCCTTCTCACCCATAGAGTTCCACTTCTCCATTTCCACACAGTGTACAATCCAGTTGACAACCATAGGTCACCTACCACTCTCAGAGACCAACCCAAGGTCACATCCCAAAGTTATGTCACTGAGCAGTGTTCCTGACTGGAAAAGCTTGGGAGCTATCTGCTCTTCCTCTGGATCTGTTGTACCTGCATCCCAGTGCTCCAAAATCTTAATTCGTACCACCCCACTGTGGATTCAATAGGAAGAGAAAGGTGGAGGGAAGTTGGTAAAAAATGTGACAAAACATATAACATATAACATAGCAAGAAGATGATTTAGAACATTATAAAGCTGCAGTTAATATAATTAAATAGATATTTTACCAGTTTCCCTTGACTCAGTTCCAACTCATGGCAACCCCATGCGAGTCAGAGTCGAACTGTGTACCGTGAGGTTTTCAATGACTGGGTTTTTGCAACTAGATCATGAGGTCTTTCTTCCAAGGCACCCTTGCCCTCGGTGAACCAAAACCTCCGGCCTTTTGATTAGCAAGCAGCTGGGTGCATTGATGGCTTGCACCTCCCAGGAACACCGCACACCCTCCCCCATCTTTTATATATAGTTGTTTACTTGGTTAAATATTTTTGTAACCTCCCAATCAATAGTCGTGGTACTTCTGCAGTCGTCCTTGGACCTGTGCAAAGCAGTGAGACATTTAAGTCACTTGGTGCACGTTCTCAGCCGAGGTTGAACAAGACAATGCTCTGACTTCTTGCTCCAACACTGCAAGCAAGCGATCTTTCTGTAATGTAGTTTGTGTCACGTTTTTTTACCATCTAGTTGGTTTTTTGATTTGTTAGTGATTTTGCTGCCTAAAATGGTCTCTAAATGTAGTGCTTCGTGTCCTTGTGCTCAGAAGGCTGTGGTAGGCCTTCCGACGATGACAGTGTGTGCTAGCTCGGCCTCGTTCAGGCCATGTTAGTGAGTCAACAACGCGGCACACCCAGGAAAGGAAAAGGAAGTCTGCCAGTCTGTCCATGATTCTGCTCTAGAGGATACTCAAGTAGCACCTGTCGTGTGCGATGGAACTTCTTGACAAGACAGAAAAGTGACTAGATTTGTAGATTAAAAAACAAACCAAAAAACCAGAACATAATGTTTGTGAGACTGAAAGCCAAAGAAATGTGTGGTTAAGTTACCCGGGTCTGGAAAATGCTAAATCTTTCCTGCCTGATGTTTTAAAAAGGGCTGCTTAAAATGATTTGTCCAAAATATATAATAAAATGCCATTGCACAGAAACACATGAAACAAGGTTTTGTATGAACCAGTGGATACAAATGCATCCAGAGCTTACAAGGCCCTCACTGTTTGTCCTCAGGAGTGCTGGCTCCCGTAGCCCAGTGCTCTCGCCAACGCTGTAGAACAGAATATCATGAGTAACGAGAACGGACTCGGATGACTTTCTTCCTTCACATTTTTCTCCTCTGGCCAGCACCTCAAAGACAAGTTGGTGTTCTTTGATGAAGGATAATATAACACCAACTTTATTCTGAGAAACCTGAGCTTCTGAGGAGTGGTCTTGTCTTGCTTATATGAGGCTGGAATAACTTTGTGTTAAAATTGTCCCTTCCAGACTTGGGATGTGTGGTGCGGCAGTCTGTCAGCAATCCCCGTGTATAGCGATGTTTCTTTCTTCTTGATAGGATTAGTCACCCCATCCAGGGTGGCGATCCATTGTCCGTGTCCTCCAGCTGACAGGAAGCACCTGAGTAGCTCAGTCAGTGGGATGATTAGATCCATGGGTAGAAGCACAGCCTCCTTGGATTCTAAAAGAGTCCAGAGAAGTAGAAATTTGAGACTGAATTTTTAGATATAATAATGGGCCACCACCACTTTCTACACCTTAGAATATTTACTGGTTGCACCTGTGAACATATGCCTCATTTTGTAGACACACAGACCTCATTCGGTGCCTTTTTCTCTCCAACACTGGCTATAAATTCATCAAGCCAGTAGTAGTTCCTCATTTTAAAAACTCGTCATTGTTTTAGATGATTCAGTGTCTGTTAAGACCAGTGAATTCCACACACCTGCTGCCTTCTCTCTTTATGAAGGAAATTCTTGGATTTGAAGCAGTTTAGTGTGAGCTACTAGGCTCCCAACCCAGAGTGTGTGTCAAAATGACTATCCTTCCCACTCATGGAAAGGTTCCTCTAAAGCCTTGCTTATCTTGGACCACGGTTGGTTACTGGGTTGACAAATAGCAAATCGTGAGCTCCTGGGTTGCTTTTGAGGGAAGCCCGGTGGCCCCGTGGTAAACCAAAGGTTGGTAGCTGGAATCTCGCAGGTGCTCCCAGGGAGGAAGCTGTCGCCATCTGCCTCTGTAAAGCATTGCAGCCGTGTAAGCTCTACAGCACAGTTCTACTCTGCCCTGATAGAGTCACTGCCAGTCAGAACCAACACAGTGGCAATGGGTTGGGAGTTCTTGGGGAATATTGCCATTAGGAACCCTAGTGGTGCAGTGGTTGGGCGCTTGGCTGCTAACAGAAAGATTGGTGGTTCAGACCCACCCAGTGATTGCATAGGAAAGACCTGGCTGTCTGCTCCCGGCAGGATTAAATCTTAGAAAACCTTGGGGCACTTCTGCTCTGACACACGGGGCCGCTGTGAGTTGGAACCAACTTGATGGCCCTTATCAACAACAAAAATACTGTCTTGAACCTTTGCTACCGTGCTACTTTATCCATTTAGATCCTAGCCTCCCAGACTTATTTGGCCTACTGCTCCCTTTTTAGAATAAATGTCACTTAGTGTCCTAATAGTGATGAAAACTTTTCATATTAAAGCCTATCATCTAGCATAAAGTGTAGGTATTTACTTTGCAGGCCTCTCCCCATGGTCCTCGTGCTCCTCCAGGCAGCAGTATCACCCACGTGGGAAACACTGGTGTAGACGGACTATGGCTATAGATACATGGTATGACCGCCATGTGAATTGCCTATCACTTACAGTTTCTTAAGATAATAAACTCACTAAATTTTGCCCATTTCTTGTGAGCGGAGTACCATCTAAAAAAACAAATCATTACTAGTATCAGTAATTTCATATGGAGGGGCATCAAAAAATTCATGGAAAAATAGAATTTAAAAATATAATGGAATTTCCCCACAAACTTTTTAAAGTCCCCTTGTACAGCTGTAAATAATAAAGTATGCCCTGACGGAAAATGTAACTAGTTTGCTATTGTTTTCTTACACTTGGAGCAGGCTAGTTGTGAAAATACAGTGGTTTGTATGCTTAAGTAGGCCCAGCACTTAGAGGGACAGGCCATCTTAACAGCAGTAATGCATTTTACATTTTCTGGGAAGGTTTAACATGGTAGTAGAGGACCTTGCTTAACTTCAGAGAAAAGAGAATCGCTCAGTCTAAAGCTAATGGTGCTTCCTGTCAGGTGGAAGTCAGACATACCTGCTCTCTGCAATCTTTCTACCTGTCCTGACCCCATGTACCTGTCACTCTACTTCTACTTCTCTTTGAGGTGCAGTAATCCCTGGCAGTGGCCACACAGAATTCAGAGATGATACTTGCTTTCAGTGGTTTACTAAGGAAGCAAAAGGATACTGCGTACAGTATACAGTAGACTATTGCTTTGGGTTGGGAGCAGGATCAGGAAGCATGCAGGCTCCCCTAAAGAAGAAAGCAAATTCTACCTGTCTTCAGCACAGGGCAGCTCTCTCGGCAGCTGTCCTTATCTGCACTGCTCACTGATCCCACCTCATGGTTCAGCACTGCCTCTCAGCAGCACGTTTCCATGGTCACCACCAACCCTGTTCCAGGGCCCCTTCGAGGGCTCCCTAGGGTTACAGCCGTGGACCTTAATTACAGCCATTGCAGGAGGGTCCCTGCTTCCCCACTCTCTGCTTTATGTCTCTGGTCTTTCATCTTTTCTCTTTTCTGCCCGTCAACTGCTGTGGCTGCCAAATAAGCAACCCCCTGGTCATATTCAAGGCATGGCACTCCCACCAAGGCCAGGAAGGGATCAGAACCCTCCCTGTAGACCACAGTCACTTAATTTGCATAGTAGGCTAGACCCATTATTGTCACATGGATGTTGACCAATCCCTGCAAGATGGGCAAGATAGTAGACCAGTCTCAGGGCAGGCTGCAACCTGGGGCCAGACAAAAAGTACCAAGCTATCAAGTTGCTTACAGTTTACCAAGGGAATATCAATCATCCTGAACAAAAATAAGCCTCCTGGGGTTAAAACTAAACTCCTCAGAGTTAGGGCGGAAATCTCTCCTGCTGCTCTTCTGAAGAACCAAGGCAAAATCTTCATACATGAACTCATCACAGGAGACTCTAAATTATAAAATACTAAGATAGGAATAATAAATTACTCTGTTACTGTCTCGAGCTAGTAGTAAAATTCTTATTTGAGAAATATCAAAGCTTGGGTTTTTAAATGTGTAACTTTAAAATTGTATTAAGCATATTTTAAAAACTCAATGTTTTCCATGCATATTTAATGATCTATAATATTTTTAATGCTTAGGGTACTACATCTCAAATTTTAAATCATATTTTATTGGAAGGTACATTAAAATGGAGAACCATGGTTGTTGAGATACTGTTTTAGTAATTTATGAATGTAAGATGAGAAGTGTTAATAAAGAAAATAAGTCACATTATAGGAGAAAAATGTTCCTTTCTTAAAGAAAAAATATATGTTATAGTGGCTTAAAAATAGAGTAATGGCTATTTTTGGGTACTATTTTAGGCATTGCTTATCCAAGAATCAAGATGGAAATTGCCACACCTTCTACAATTGCCTGAGAATTACAACACCATCTTTCAGTACTACCACAGGAAAACCTGCAGTGTCTGCACCAAAGTTCCTAAAGACCCTGCTGTTTGCCTTGTTTGTGGCACTTTCGTATGCCTGAAAGGACTGTGCTGCAAGCAACAGAGTTACTGTGAATGTGTGTTGGTAAGTAACCGAAAACGATAGAGTTGTGGAAATCAAATCTCTTTCCACATGTGACTCCTTTTTGAAGAGGAGTTACATATGAGGGTGTTTTTGTTTGTATTATTTTTTATTAGAAGAAGTGAAACCTTTCTTAAGGACGATTCTTGCTCCTTTCCTTACTTTCATGGTCCTTCAAGGTTAGGTCAGACCTTATCATGTGATGTGTTTAGCAATACTTACCATCTAGGTGCTCTTGGAAAGGCTGGCCTCTTACCTAGGTTGACTGTTAAATACTTTCCTGGATAATTCTTAAACAAATTTCTCAATGTATTAGTAATAAAGTATTAAAACTGAGATTATACCTAATATAAGTGAGATAATATTAAACTTTTTAAAAGATTGCTATTATTTAATTATGATATTTAAAGTTCTGCTATCAAGCTCATTTGATTATGGAGTTAATTTAAAATTTTTCTTTTCTTTCTAGCATTCTCAGAATTGTGGTGCTGGGACAGGGATTTTCCTCTTGATCAATGCATCAGTGATTATAATCATTCGAGGCCACCGCTTCTGCCTCTGGGGTTCCGTGTATTTGGATGCGCATGGAGAGGAAGATCGAGATCTTAGGTCAGATATGCAAAGATATAGCTGGGTGTCTCATTGAAATCTAGTCAATAAGAACAATGTGTCTTCCTGGCTTTGTAACTAGTATTTTTTTATGAAGACATCTGACAATTGTCAATTTATAACTATTCCTAATGTTTAAGATAGTTTCCAACTCAACATGCTAAATAAATATAAAACAAACCAAATTTTGATGTGAGGTTTTTGCCACCAGTAGTCTATTTAAAACAAATACATGTTGACGCTTGTATGACTGGCATGGGGTAGTGTCTGCACCCCAGCTTTCTATTGTATTATGCTATTTTTAATACTTCTTCTCCCCCCGTCTCCCTCTTCTAGGCGAGGCAAGCCTCTCTACATTTGCCAGGAAAGATACAAAGTTCTTGAACAGCAGTGGATTTCGCACACCTTTGATCACATCAATAAAAGATGGGGTCCACATTACAATGGGCTGTGACTCACCACCTCAACAGTGCATCAGATCATCATTTTCATTAAGAATTTACTTTATCAACAATAAGCTTTAACTTAATTTGGAGGGATGAATGCTTTTGCAGGAGGGGGAGAAAAAAAGAAAGCATACATTCTGAAGCTTTTCCAAAATTAGGTGCTTGGTAACCACATTAATGGTAAAATAATTAACAAACAACAAAGTATCTGGAAAGCCTAAGTAACAAGTGAAATCATTCTTTAGTGGTCATTGTTTTATAGTCCACAATTAATAAGAAGCACAACTTGTTCACAAAATAAATCACTTAGGAATGGTTCTCCCACCCATGCATATCAACTTTTCATTGAGACTTTAGAGTGAGTGTGATTTCTTTGACATTTGACTGCTTCTCTATATCTGTGTGTTTAATTTGCATATGATAAACCAATTGCATCTTTTCCTCTGCCATTCTTGTGTTGGTTTGAGATTTTTGCTGTATGTAATTAGACAAAATGTAAAACATGATTTATGTGAAATATTGTATAGTAAAAGTTGGTCTAATAGTAGAACTTTGAAATTTTTTCTTATTGTGAGAAATCTGTTAAAAGTTTAAGGCTTTGCTGAAAACTTAATTCATTCTCAGGAATTTCACAAATATTCTCCCCAGGTAAATAACTGAAATAGCTGTAAAATAGTAGATAGCTGCTCTTAATATAATACAGTACATTTGGGGGGTGGCGGTGGGCCGGGGATTCTTAAAATTCAAAATTTGCCATTTCAGGTGGGTGAATTATCAATTGTAGTAATAAGTAGATTTTCCCATAAGATCAAGCATTTTAAGAGCATACACATGGACGATTTGGCTCTGCATACACATCTCTCATCACCAGCCCGGTGTGTGTTTACATGATTACATTGGACATGTGCAGACTTCCCCACGAAGGAAACATCATTTTGGAACTTTTCTGTCAGCTCAAGAAGTTCAACTATGTTGTCTTTGTGCAATGTAATCAACTGTTATTTCTGCTTGGTTTCCTAAAAGGGAAAAAGTCTCCGTGGTGACCTTCATGAATGAGCTATGCATCTGCATTCTTCCAGAAACTGCTATAAAAAGCAGTTTATGGTTGTAGGGCTTTTAAGTCAGTAAACATGGGAATGAATGAGCTAAAACCCACTCTGTGGGGAAGGGAAGACAGACTACAGATAAAAACGTCTTATATATTGCTACCAAGATATTTTTTCCAAGTGATTCAACAATTCGATGATGATTTCATAATCTGAGCAATTCCTGGAATGTTGGATTCTCTTGGCTTGTTATGATCAATAACATTTTTATGTATTAAAGTAAAAGACTTCTAATGATAAATATAAAACTAAAGGTAGATCCATGTTCCACAAAATTCTTGAATGACATGACATTACCAAATATGAAAATGGACACTAAATAACAGCTTAGCATTAAAATAGGGAAAGCCGAGCAGTACATTTTCAAATGTTCAAAACTGAAATTTTCCCTGTAGCTCTACAATAAAATACATGGAAATAGCTTGCTATTTTTATATACATTTCCAAAATATTAAGATAACTTTCTGTAAGACTAGACTAATTGTTTGACTAAATAGCCGTCCTTTTCAACACATTGCTACTTTTTTAAACACTGTATCATAAGTTCAGCCTGTCATGTTTTTTGCATTGGTCATTATTAATACCAGACCATTTTGTAAGTGTGGTTGAAGAGCAAAATGCTAATTTACATCTCCAGTAAATTCTGTTACAGGATTCATGAACTTGTTTAATTTTACAGTTTGAAACTCTGATGCTATATATACATGATATAATGTATTCAGACTTTGATTACTACATATTTAAAATGGAATGTTTTATGGTTGTGCATATGGATGTGAAGTGAAAATATTAGCCTTAACTTTAAAATTTGGGTATTTGATAGTGTTTATTTTGATATTGGTGAATTAGTCACCAGTAAATTTTTTTAAAAAGCACTTGGTTGAAAATTGTACTTGAATACATACATGCATGCTGCTAAACTAGAACTTTAATTTTTTCCCCATAATTTTTATAAGTCCCATTTATAAGCCCACTTTTAAAAAATAACAAGTCCAAGTTAGAGTGATGTGTGTATATTATTCAAAAAAATGTACTGGTGTGATATCTTGTATGACTGATCATTTAAATACAGTACATTACTGTAGATGCTAAATCAGTCTTTATAATTAAGCAGAAATTACAAAACTAGGAATAATGAACATTGTAAGATATGTTAATAAAAACCTACTGTCATTTGGTTTGTGAAAGGTCCTTAAAATTTTTAAGGCTTACATGTTTTTCTCTTCAAAGGTGTTGACAACTTCTGTGAGTAAGCGTGGCTGCAAGGTGGAAGCGGAACAGAGCGGATAGTCTCTGTGAGGTGGCAGTAAATGGAGAGGGGCTTTCCTCAACTTTCACCTTTTATTTGCAGATCCAGTGGCTGCTCTTTTTTCTGTCCTTATCCCATAACCAAGAGAAGCCCTTTGCCCTGTTGTGTGTATTTGGGGCAGTAGGAATAAGGAAAGAGATAGGCCAGTTGGAGAGACGCTGCTATGGTCTCTGCTGTCTTCCGAAAGTCCCCAGCTAGACCTAAGACATTTAAAGGATGTTGATGATGTTTGTTTCCAGTGGTCTGTGGTCTTGTTTGAATTGACAACCCTCATCTCCTTCCCTTTCCCCCATCCTGTAGCTAGCCAACTATGTAGTTACCAACTGTGAGTCCATTTCTGTGTTCAGACTTCATTCTATTTCACACATTCTCATATTTGTTGATTTCTGCAGGCAGTAGGATGGCAAAGATGCCAACTCAATCCTTGAAGACCTGCTGGAAATAACATGCCAGTGGAAGGTAACCTGTCCCAAGAGCCTATCCCATCTCCGAGACTGGAATTGATAACTCCTAAGTATCTGTTGTTGGCTTGTTTTTTAGTTCACCGCCCCCCCCCCAAACAGTTTTATTGGCATTACTCACACATGAGGCTAATTTTTGACACACACAAAAATCAAGACTCTCTAGAATCAAATCAGTGAGGCACTTCCTTGATGGTTAGTAGGAAACAGAAGACTTGTCTCAGAGACATCTCTCCGTCTCATTCACAGCACACAGTCCTTCTGCCTTTGCGATCCGGCTGTATGTTATTAAGCACTGCTTTGTTCATCGGAGGATGAGCTGGAGTGGCCGGCAGGATGACAAAATGATGGTTTCAATATTTATGGCACTTCAAGCTCTCTTGGTAATAAGTATGGAAAATGTAACTCTAACTGAGGCAGTACAATGAAAATGTGTACTAGCACTTCGCTGAGCTGCCTTTGTGTGAGGTAATGGAAGATGTGACCAGTTTAAAGTTGCTGAGGCAGAGCCTAAGAGCAATCCAAAACCACAGATAAGGGACTCCACTTCATGGGAAAGGACAAAGGGACAAGGCAAAGGAAATAATGTCTGGAGTGATGTGAGATGACTCAGACATGATTGTCTGTTTTTTTAGAAATCATTTTATTGGGGGCTCTTACAGCTCTTATAATAATCCATACATCAATTGTGTCAAGCACATTTGTACATACACTGCCACCATCATTTTCAAAACATTTTCTTTCTATTTGAGCCTTTGGTATCAGCTCCTCTCCCCCATACCCCCCATGACCCTTTGTTAGATTATTATTTTCATATCTTAACGCCATCCACTGTCTCCCTTCACCCATGTTTCCGTTTGTTCCCCCACAGGGGTTGGGTTTGTGTGTGAATATGTCAATCATTGCAATTGGTTCCCCCTTCTTGTTACCCTGATGGTATCACTACTCCCGTTATTGTTCCTGAGGAGTTTATCTGTTCTCGATTCCATGTGTCCAGAGCTCTTATCTGTACCAGTATACGTGCTCTGGTCTAGTCGGATTTGTAAGGTAGAACTGGGATCATGATAGTATGTGTGTGGAGGGGTGGGAGGAAGCATTAAAGAACTGGGGAATGTTGTGTGTTTCCTTGGTGCTATACAGCCATCTGGCTGGATCATCCCTTCCTTGTGACCTTTCTGTGAGGGGATCTTCCTTGTGACCCTTCTGTGAAGGGATGGGCTTTGGGCCTCCACTCTGACCCTGACCTCCCTCATTCTCATTGATATGATTGTTTTGGGTCCTCTGATGCCTGATACCTGATCCCGTCGACACTTCATGATCACACAGCTTGGTGTGCTTCTTCCATGTGGGCTTTGTTGCTTCCCTGCTAGGTAGCCACTTGTTTAAGTTCAAACCTTTAAGACCCCAGATGTTATATCTTCTAATAGCCAGGCACCATCAGCTTTCTTCACTGCATTTGCTTATGCACCCACTTTGTCATCAGCGATCGAGTCGGGAAGGTGAGCATTGCAGTATGGCAGGCTATTAGAGCACAGTGCTCTTGCCTTAAGGGAGGCCTTGAGTAGAGATTGCCTCGGTTGGATTGGTAACAGAGGGGCACCGTCTGTTGCAGATGAGCAGACTTAGATGTGTCCTGGGAGAGGGGGGTGTGCAGAATTAAGAAGTACCAAAGAAGTTATATGGAGAGTTTTAGAAGCTGTAAAATTTTAATGGAGCCAGTTATAAAGGTTTGATCATTTATAACACACTCAGGATCAATAGTCTTGGGCCTAAAGGTTAGAAAAATGGCTAAGTTAATTCATGGTTTGGTAATGAGAGAGCAGGTGCATTGTAAAAATAGACTGGTAAGAAAATTAGTGGTGCTGCTTGTAATGATGGATCAATGGAAGTGACAATAAGATCAAGCAAATCTAATAGAGGTCTTCGAAGCTTAATTTTTGAAGTTTGGGGAAAATGGTTTGTGTTGAAGATTTGAGTTCATATTTGTTTAAATATGTGAGCCCTTCCTGTGTGCTAATAACTTAAATTCTGGAAATACAATGGAGAAGAAACCAAATAATCCCTTAACTCACGTAATTGTTCTGTTAGAAGAGGGTCTAAAAAGTTGTTATTTGTGGTATAAAGTCACACATTTAATTAAAATATTCCATACAAATGTAAATGAAAAGGTAAAATTGTTAGAGAATAGGTTCAGCAAACAGGTAAGTCACATCTCAGTGATCTTTCTCCTATACTGAAGTAAAAGGAGTCCTAGGAGGTTTGGTGGTGGTGGTTTTGTTGTTGTCTCACGTAGCATTCTGTGTGATTAATGCTACAAATGGCAGCGGTGGGAGGCGTGGGCTACAGGGTGTCACCAAGTGGCCCTCTGCACCAGCTGGGGTTGCACATGCAGGCTCACCGAGGAGAGATGGCTCAGATGACTCTCTAACACTGTTTAAAAGTTATCTGCATGAAAGAAGAGGTATGGGGTATAGTTAATTTTTTTAGACAGGCATTGTAAGGATCCACAATTGAGAGAGCATGGTAGTTTTGGCCCCGAAAGGAACTCATTCTCTTAGCATTGGTTCTATTGAGAGATCAGTAGCATCTAATTACAAATACTTTCACCTTCAGAGAGCCATCCGAAACCATTGAAGAGTATTAGACTAGAGTAGTGTCATGATCAGATCTGTGTTTTAGAAGAGTCAGTCTGGCTGCTCTGGGGGCAAAAAATTCAGGTAGGGAGACCTGCTAGTTGAAACACAAGATGGTGGTTGGCTCAACGAATGGTTTGCGATAGGGACAGGAGATGTAGCATTAGACAGAGACAGACAGCAGTAGCAAAAACATGAAAGGATTCTGCTGAGTGATTGAGATTAAGGAACGTCTCTAAGAGACCTATTCTAATCCAGAAACCAAGGATACTTCATTAAACAAGACAGTGCCTGTAGACGATGTGCAGTCTTGTAGAAAACAAAAAATGATGTTTTAAACAATTTAGGCAGAGGAGTTTGGAAACCAGTGGGCTGGTCTGGGCAGATTGCAAAAGGCTGTATGGAGGAAGTCATGCTGAGTGGGGACCTGGAAAAGAGTAGAAGTGAGCCAAGTGAAGTGGGGAGGGCTGTAGAGGGAGGACATTTTTATAAACCATTCAACACGTGGGTCTTCAAAGAGAATGAGTAGGATGCACTCAAAAAATGGAAGGATATGCACTGTTTAACAAAGGTCCCCTTTCCTTAGTTTCCCAGAAGACATTTAAGCCCTCAATAACAGGCTCATCAAAGTCCAAGACTCCCAAAGGCCTGTTCTACTCTCCTTACATCTGGTTCTAGTCCTCCCTGCCCAGCTCCAAAGTATCCCCACACTTTAGATGTGCTGTGCGAGGACAATTCCCGAAGCTGAAATCGGTACTAGTGATCTATTATAGCAAGTATTTTGTGAGGAATCCCAGTGAAGTTTAGCTGGATGGCTATATGGTTCAGAGTTTTCATAAGACTTCAGGTGTCCAGGCTGCGGTGAGCTGAAGTTTGAGTAAGGCTGGACGATATGCTTCCAGGCTCACGCACATGACTGTTACCTGTGCTACCTGGGCCTCTACGTGCCATGACCCACGGCCCAGCAGCTGACTCCCCCCAGAGTGCCAGGAGAGGGAGGAAGACTAAGAGCAAGAGAGCATGCTTAAGAGGGAGGCTACAGTGGGTTTGTTTTTGGGGTGGTGGGGCGGTGGTGGTGGTTAATTTTTAATGTTCAAGGGAAAATAGATATTCCATTATCAGAGTTTTTGATTAATTAGTTTTATTGGCATATCAATCACACCTATACAGTTCAATAGTTTAGTCATATTAAGAAGATCTATATAATCATCACCACAATCAATTGTAGAGGACATTTTCTTCTTTCTCATACTCATTGTTGTTACCTCCCCATTTTCCCCAACCTCCCCTGCCCCAGAGAAACCACTCATCCAGTTACTCCCTTGATACATTTACCTATCCTGGATTTCATTTACCGAACAACAACAACAAAAACTAACAATAACAAAACAGAGACTTCAATCAAAAAGAAAGAAAATAAAAGCTGGAACAAATTTAAAATGGGTCAAAATGGAAATCAAATGATAATGGTGTTAAATTTTATCCTATCTTCAATAATACACTTTCAATGTCATCTGCATGATAGCAAGGCTTATTCCTGGGAGGTTTACTGTATACACTCGTGTATGCGGCGTCTCATTTATCAGCCAAGGCACCTAATTATACCACAAAAACTGCTTTAAAAATGTGCTGGAAAACAGCTTAAACGGTTTATACACGAATATGTATGGTAATTCATGTGTCTATTTCCTGTTTTCTTTTGTAACTGAAACAACTTTAAAAGGGAGATCGAATGATACACGTTACCCTAACCATGTCTGCCATAATTGA